TAATTAGCTACTAGCTATCTAGTTAAGGAAAGAAGTTATAATTACTATAGGCTATACCTAGCTAATAATATAATATTAGAAGTATATAGGGGTAAGGTTAGTAAAAGCTATTTATTTATAAATACTATATTAAAAATAGATTACTTAAGTAGTTCTTACTTAACTACTTTATAGCTAGTCCTACTAGTAAGATCTTATTTAGATAGGAACTTATAGGAGTCTATTTACTTATAATCTTATATAGGCTATTACTACTATAGTAAGATAAAAACTTAGTAAGATAAAAATCTTAATAATTAGAGGAAAAAAAGGTTAAAAGATAAAAAAAAAAAAACTTAAAAAAACTTAAGTATAAAAAGAAGATAATTATACTAAATACTATAAAGGTTATTAGTAAGTAAGTAGTATATAAAAGAAAAGACTTCTCTAAAAGTAATAAAGTTAATAGTAGTAATAGTAGTTATTATATAGTAAATATAAGGCTTAAAGGGTTATTTACTAGGTATTATAAGACCTTAAGTACTAATAATCTTTAGGCTAGGTAGCACTTTAATACTTTAATCTAAGCTGCTATAGTAAGTAAAGTATTATAGCCTCTTTTAATAATCCTTACTAATCTATAGTAGTAGTAACTATAAAGTTAACTACTAATTAGTGTTAGTATTATAGGGATTATAATTAATATAGCTATAATAGTATTAATTAACTATTAGTAGCTAGGTAAAGATAATAATAAAAGAAAAAAGAAGAGGTTACTGCTATAGGTATTTATAGTAGTGTAAGTAAGCTACTAGGGTAAGTTATATAATAGTAAATCACATAACTATAGATTAGCTCTACTATTAAACAGTTAAATATCCTAATAAATAAGTTAGTACGTAAAGTAAGGTGTTTTTTATAGTTAAAAGTGCCTTTTATAAAGTAATAAGGCTTATATATATAGACATAAATTACTAGGCCTTTACTAACTACAGGAGGTTAGGTATTATTATCTTAGTAATTAACCTATAAGGGCGTATAGCAAAACAGCGTTATAAGGGTATTTATAGTAACATTTTTTAGTAAGGCCTACTCTAGGCCTCTATAAGCAGTTAATAACGTTATTACCTCTTCTTATAATACCTTACTAATCTATAGTATTTTTAGTAGTAGTTATAGTAAAGTTAACTACTAATTAGTGTTAGTTTTACTAGGTTAGTAATACAGTTAACTGTACGTATTAATAGGCAGTAATAAATAATAGGGGTAAATACTGGTTCTAAATTATGCGTAAAGGAAAAGAAACTATTGTAGGATTACGTGGCGAATCCACCGCGTAATATCCCCATGAATCCGGTGGATCCACAGCAAATCGGCCGTAGTTATTCCGGCCGTTCGGCGTTAATCCATACCGCCGATATCCAGGCGATAGTCAACATCACAACAGTAACCATACTACATTTTGACGCGGAACAGGTATCGGAGGCGGACCTGAGAAAGGTCGTAGACAATGTACTCGTTGTACATGAGATATGCATTGGAGATGTTGTTGTCGCCTGCCTTCACACTCACGTCGGGCTATCCGAGGATGGTTAGTGACGATTCTTGCATCAAGACGGACGCCGGACATTCTCACCATTTTGACACCCTCGAGGGACGGGTTGACGGAGCCAGCATCCTTCCACCGGCTCGGCCCAGTCCTGCCCTGGCCCCAAGTTGACCACATGTCGTTCGCCCGAGCGGTTTCGCCCGCGTGGTAACTCGCGTTGGTGAGTTTCTGCATCGGGTCGCCGAGCTCGGCCTCGCAAAGTAGCAGCAAAGCCTGACCACCAGAGCTACTGGAGGCGCAGTAGCCTGCCGATTTGGTAGACATGTCTGCAAGATAGATACCCTTGCCGAACATGTATCCAGACACCGGAGCCTCGGGAGGCGCGATTCGCAGGCCCTGGCTGAGGATACCACCAAAGTTGGTTACACGAGAGCCGTGCCACAGCAAGCGCCGGTCGGACTTGATGGATGAGAATTCGCTCTTTTCGAAACGCTCTAGCTCGCCCTGCCGTTCGATGCGGAAAATATCCTCAACCTTGTAATTGAAATGGTGGGTTGCGCCCTTGGAACCCTGGAGGTATTCGGACAGGAGGGCAAACTCTGAACTATTGGGATCAAGAGGAGACATCTCTTTCATTCCAAGACCCTGGTATTGTCTGTCAGCAGGGTGAATGTCATGAACCTTGCGGTCGACCTTCATAAGATCGGACGCAATCTTCATGTCCGAAAGACTGTCGAGCAGGTCCACCTCCTTCTGGAGCATTACACCGGTCTGAATAACGGGAGGACGATTGCGACCAAAGGCATGGGGGATCAGGGAGTAGTATAGGTTCGACAAATGCTCAGTTGCTTCCGGCACGCTCATGCTGTACTTGGAGTCGGCAAGTGTGGAGTCGTTGAAGAGCTCAGCCATGTTCTTGAGTGCCTGGAACCCGCGAAGAATTGTGGCCTTGCTGAGCTTGCCGAGAGGCAGCTTGTTGGCATCATAATTCATGGACGTCATGGCGTCGCGGAAGTATTTCTGGTTGAAAATCAGATTCATCAACTCCTCCACAGGCTTCGCCAACGTGCACTGAACCGGCTCGGGCTTCTCGTCGGACTCCTCATTCTTGATTTTGTCGGCATGTCCAGCATCGTTGTCGTCATCACTGTCGGCGTCGTCCGAGTCTGGCTCGTAACTACGCTCGATGAAGGCGTACTTTTTGGGCTTGGGATCGTCTCCACGGTCAGCCCAGGCCAGACCGCTCTTGTCTTTGAACTTCTTCTCGAAGTTGCTCAGAGCGTCATTGAGGGAACCGCCGCCAAGGACCGCGCACTGGCCCCATTCGCCGACTCTGCCCCAACGGGTCCACGTTTTGTACGTCGTACCGTCTTGAACGAGCTGGGAAGCGTCAGAAATAAAGGCGGATACGAGCACTATTCAGGATGCACATACCTGAAGACGGTAAAACTTATTATTATTGTTCGTGGTATTGGTTTGGTTGAGCGACGCGTCGTAAATGACACCGTCAGGGGCAATGTAGACGGTACCCTGGACCCTGCATCCCTCATCGAGGGGAATGCTGAATCCCTTGGAGGCGAGCTGGCTACTGTCAGCCGCCTTACCCTTGGCGTCCGGTGTAGCAGCGGCTTGCTTCTTTACGTCGGTCTTGTCGTCAGCGTCGTCGGTGTTCTTCTTCTTGCCCTTGGGACCGGTGGCGGCCTTTTGCTTCTTGACGTCAGGCTTGGCATCGCTCTCGGTGTCGGACTGGACTTGGGCCTTTGTGCGCTTCTTGCTGGCGCTATTGGCCTTGGATGCTGCTGCAGCGGGCTGCGACTGCGACTGCGAGTCGTTCTGGTGGGAACCATTGGCCTGTGATGAGGCGCCTTTCTTCTGTGTTTTGTTGGACCCATTGGTCGCTGCTGGGGCAGGGGTTGCCTGCTTCGCCGCTTGCTGGCCATATTCGTAGCCAGTCTGAGAGAGGAGTGAACCCTGAGACTCGCAATCCTCGGCCCACTGCAGGCTGACGATGGGGATGTCGTTCTTCTGTGCAGATGCGACCTTCGTGGTGAGGGCCTTGAAGTCCTCAGGGGTGGAAATGAGATGAGTCGTCTTCTTTGTAATGGATTTTGCGATACCTGCGCCGAGGGAGGAGAGCCAGGACTCAAGTTCGGTGCGCTTCTTGTCGAAGGTGCCGCTGATGGCGATGACAGCGCCGTTCAATGGCTGAGCAACTGGGGCGGGATCGGCCGCAGCACTGGCGCTGGCAGCTGCGCGGGCCGATCTTCTCGGGGGCATCCTGGGTGTGATGGGGAGTGGAGATAGCTTGTGGCAGGCGCTGGGACTTTAGTGAGTGAAGAGGGAGGACTTCTTGAAGGGGAATTGGATCTCAATTGAGAGCCAAGGTGATGGATGAGAGCAAAGGATTCAGAAAGGACGAGAAACGATTTTGAATATTGAACGAAGCTTTGGAGAAAGGAAGGAGACGACGCGAGCCGACTTTATTTGGCTTGGGCGTTCGGCGAGGAAGCGCCAGCCCATCCATAGATGGCGGGAAGGCACCGGCCGAGGAAGGCAAGGTGCGACGCGCGCTTTCAGCTCCTTTGGACAGAACCAACAGGGGGCTGCAGGCACCGACCCCGCTGGTGCCTGGCGCACGAGCCACTGCATCCGTCGAGGTTCATCGCGTGTTCACGTGCAGGGGAGGTGAGGGCCTGTCCTGCCTGCTGTGGACTCCGTCTGAGCTCCAGTTCGTGGTCATGTTATCCAATAAAGCGACGACTCAGCATCGGGGGATCGCTTCATCTCGACGACGTCCCTCCAGCCATTCCCACAAGTAGCTGCCCGTCATTGCCATCTCGTTAGTTTAGTGGCCTAGCTGCCTGGATGGTGGAGCCCGGGACCCGAACGGTAACCGTCATCGTTTGGCTGCGCGGCTCCTTGGTGGCATCTTGATTATTCCTCCTTTCTGACTGTCTTGTTTGGATAACAACGCACTCTGGCCACCTCGGAAATTCGCATTGGTAGATAATTAACGAAGCTTGTTCATCAATTCATTTCCGACAATCCACCCAGCCACCCAGGCATAACATTAAAGACCATTGTCGGCCTCTGTTCCGGCCAGTCTGCATATCTATATCTCTAGGGCAAACGTCTATGAAAACATCAATTAGCGGGCGAAAGCCCGATTCGTACATTACCATGTCCTCCCACATCTCCAGCGCTTGTTGCATGTCGTCCGGGTAGGGGGCATTACTGTCATAGTAAGCCCGATTCGTACATTATCATGTCCCCCAGTATCTCCAGCGCTTCCTGCATGTCTTCCGTGTTGGCATCGATTTCAGAATATATGTTCATCAAGTCGGCTGAATTAGGTAATGTGCAGTCGTTAGCCATGATGTACCCTCACTCTGCTCATCCTCTGGCCCGGGCTATGTTATAACGCGAAAGGACAAAAGGGCGCGCCGTGAAAAGCCAAACGCGCGCCGAGGAATTATTCACCTTCCATATCTTCGTCCAGCTCCGAGTCTGTCACTTCATGTTCGTCCAAGTCTTCCTCACTCTCCACCGGAAGTTCCGCCTTGACTTGCCCCACTAGCTCTTCGACGAAGTGTTTCCAGTCGATGCCGGTGTACTCCTTCAAGTCCACCTTGTCGTCGGGAGAGCCCTTGTTGTGGAACCAAACCTTGGTATTGGTCATGAAGGTACGTTGAGCAGGGCTGCCAATCTTGATGTGGTTCAAGTTAAGGTTGGGTATCTCGCACAGGGCTTTCAGCGTCTTGGCCCACAGGTTTACCTTATAGTGGTCGCGTCGCTCGTCAAGGTTTTTGGCCTCGGCAGCTTTGTTCCACAGCGTAAGCTTCCAAAGTGTTAGTCTTTTGAGTGTCGGCGAGAGCTTCCGGACAAGATGGACCAGGCGTCTTGGCTCGACATCCACAAGACCCAGGTTGAGTTCCTCGATGTGCGGAAATGCCACGGGGGGAGGAGGTGGCGGAAGCTGGCTTTCGGAAGCTGCAAGCGTCGACGATCTATCGGTTTTGGGAACCGGGGTGCCGAGCCAGTTGATGAAGTGATCGACGGCGTCCGAGTTGTTACCGGGGTGGCTGAAGTTCAGCCTCAGGTGCTTCAAATTGGGCATGTGCCCTAGGAAGAGGCGCAGGAGATAGTCGTGCCGACGCCGACTGAAGGCCGTGTTGTCGTCGGCGCCGGCTACAGGTGCTGTGGTGCGGAACGGACCGTTTGCCACGTTCACGACGCACAGGAACGTCTCCAGGCCGCGGAGAACAGGGGTGACCTTTGGCTGGAGGTACTTGGTAAAGAGGTTGAAGGCGTCGTCTGAAGGGACGCCGTGGCCTTTCCGAAGCAGTTCGAAGGCCTTGGGGCGTGCACCGGCATTGCCGAGTGATGTGAAGACGGAAATGAAGACCTTGTTCGCATAGGCCTGGATCTCGTCTATTGGGACGCGGAAGAGGTTGACTTCCGTCTCCTTCTCCAGAGTGGTGGCACCGTAGCTTGCCCATGTGGCAGTAAATCCATCTCGAAGACGACGTGCTTTGGAGTGGTAGTCGCGGATGCCAACGGTCTTGAGATTCTTCAGGTTCCGAAAAGCCTCAGTCAGCATAACAACATGGTGGCCGCTGTTGACTAGGGCGAAGTGATCGGCTTGGGCCTCGCGATAGCGAGTTTCGCAAGCTTCCTTGCCCGGGGGGAAGTAGTGGCGTGTGAAGCAGTTAAGGCCGATGATGACGTGGTCAAGGCAGTCGGACAAGCGCGATTTGCTGATATCGACCAGAGCCTGCAGGCTGAACTCGGTGATCATGAACTGACGCTTGGTAAAGTACTCCTTCATGAATGTGTTGAACAGGGACTGCTCGATGGATCTGCACGTCAGGCGTAGAGCGCCCAATTCCGTGGTGCTGAGAAGGGTAGAGATGCGGAGAAGAACCTCGAGAGGGACCTTGTTGAAGGGCGAGGTGGATTGTGGGTTGGCAAGGGCAACCACAATGGGTGTCGACGACTTGAAAGTCAACGGCGGCGTGAGTTGCGACATGGCTGAGGCGTTGGTGCGTTGTGCGTCAAGGACTGCGACTACCGCTCGGCTTCTACAGGTTTGACGACCCCCAGAGCGGAATGTGATGGGTGATACGCTACTAGAAGATGATAAAAGCCCAAAAGATGGTTTGAATCCGGCTGGGGGCGGGAACCCACAGACCACTACAATAGTAGCGTGCCGAGTTCGTCTCGGTTGGCAACGTTTTGTGTAAGAGCGGTTTCTCCCATTGGGGTTTACGCTCTCTAAACAAACAGTGTATACAGTCAGTCTATGTAGTGTACCTATCGGCCTTACGAGGGAACGGCTTGTATTTGTACCTTGGAAAAGCCCAACAGACGTTGGAATGATGTCGATTTTCAGTGGTGGCTCGTGCTTAAGCTCTAGGCAGAAGCGGGGAAGGAACCGAAGGCGATGTAATAGTGCCAGGTTGGGTTGATGATGTTGGTGATGGAAAAGTTGAAAAATCAAAATCCACCGTCTCCCCGCGTCTAGTGACCAAAAACCGAGCGTTGCAGACTGTGCTGTCTCGTCTCAGCCTAGCCTCGCCACGTCCAATCGTCGGTCGTGGTGGGCGTTTTCACGTCTCACACCTGTGGCCGGATCCTCCTGCCTGCCTGATGAGCCTGGAATGTCTACTATCCAAGTAGTGGCGTGTGAAGCAGTTAAGGCCGATGATGACGTGATCGAGGCAGTCGGGCAAGCGCGATTTGCTTGCTGATATCGACGAGAGTCTGCAAGCTGAACTCGGTGAGCATGACCTGGTCTACCGGTATCTGACCTTCCGTCCATCTGCACTGGAAATACGGAGTACATAGGTACTATACGGATGGGTAATTTAGTAGGTAATGAATGCAGTCTGATGGCCAAGGAGCTTGGGCCACATGCAAATGGCGTGACCCCGCTACCATTACGTTTTGTGCAGGTATGGATACTGTAGGGTAGGTACGAGTACGCGGTCACTGGTCATTGCTCCTGCCGTTCGTTGGTCTACCTGCCGGCCCGTCTCCGTCTCCTTCCAACCCAGCCAAACAATTGGATGTACTGTTTTGCATATTGCCGGCCTTCCTGGCAGTCAATGAGACCGAGGGACCGAATGGTGTAAGCGGTCAGAGACATCCGTATGGTACTCCGTACAGTCAGAACCACCGTAAGATCCTTGTGGATAATTTCAACATCAGCTTGTTTACTTATAAGCCGCCCTGCTTTTTTCCCCCTCTTTTTATTTTTTCAAAGACCAGGTCTACCTCCAGATATACGTCTATACTGATATGGTATGAGGGATTAATTAAGACAGGGGTTTTATCGTAAGAGCTCTTGCCACAAGTACAAGGGTGGGTGCTGCCTAAGCATCGTGGGGGCAGGATGCGTTCAGGTCTGGCTGTTCGGATTATATGTATTTACAGGGTTTTCTATCGAAGCCTGTTGTCTCGGAATTAACCGGCTAAAATTACATTCGGCGCCGGAGCTCCATTGATACTCCTTTACTCTATGTCGATCGCCGTACTATGGAGACCATTGAAGAGTTGGTCAGTTGGAATATGCAAGAGGCTCCGTGGCTCCCAACAACCAAGGCGTTGGCAGCATCTAAACCTTAGCCCAGCAGATACGAGCAAGTTCGTTGGCCTTTATTGGAAGCAAATAGACCCGTAGACTTAAGCCGATCAGGAAGGCAAGCCTTGTCAAAAGCGCCAGGGCCGCGTACATGTGTGCAATGTGATCTTCCTCACTGCTACCAACGCTGCCGCGGCCGGGTGAGCCTGATTCAATCTTCCCAGGATGCGCCAAGACTCGAGAGCGGAGAGCCTCACTTCGCTGCCGTCAACGACTGGATCCGGACCTTATTTTTCCACTCCTCGCCCACCCCTGTTCGCCCGCACTCGACATGGTCGGAGATGAGCCATCGAGCCGGGGGTGTCATGGTGGCCATGCCAGTGTACTTGGCTCATAAACAAGCTCCCACCAGGCCGAGGCGCACGTCTGATAGCCGCTCCGTAGCCATACCCTTGTGTTATCGCCATCTGGATATGCAATACTTCCAGGCATGTGGACATGGAGGACAACCAACCTCAATGGAGACTCGACTTTTGCCCCTCGCTCTCGCATGCTCTTTTGGTTCTTGCGTCCGTCTGATGATTCCTATGGGCGATCAATAAGCGCAATCCCCCCACTCCCTTCGCTCCTATTCACCCCGACTACTCCAAACAATCCCAGATCCCCGTCAATGGACCCTCTCATCAAAGCACAAAATGTCCACATCCCGTTCAAGGCGATGGTGCCGAACCGGCTTGGTTCCGACTCAGATGCCAATAAATAGAAGTCTTGTCCCAAGACCTTAGCCAACCTTGGGAAGCTTGGCGGCTCAGATCCGGTCTCACGCTTGCTTCAATCTCTCACCACAGCAGCTGTCATCTCTTCTCCTGGTGTTCCGGCGCAGCCATTCGTCTCCCGACCGCCAAGCCCACCATGAAGTCCCTTATCTTTTTTGCGACCGCCGCCGCGGCCGCCGGCCCGTACCTGGCCTGGACAGCCGAGTCCTTTACCAAGCATGAGATCGACGACAAGAAGCCCTTCCACTATACCAAGGCTGTCCTTTACGACGGCTTCGAGGCTGCCATCGAGCTCACCAAGGACGAGGCCCTCGTCGACTGGTACCGTGGTCGCATCGACGAGCGCGTCGTCCTCGCCAACGGCAGCATTCCCACATGGCAGCCCACCAAGTACTCCCTGGACGAGTACCGCATCGGCAACAACATCCTCTGGTGGTACGAGCGTACCGGCGAGGACAAGTATAAGACGGCCGCCAAGACCATCCGTGATCAACTGGACCGTCACCCTCGCACACTGGAGGGCGGCTTCTTCCACCGTAGCCCTGACTACGATAATCAGATGTGGCTCGACGGCATCTTCATGGCTGACACCTTCTACGCCAAGTGGACTTCTCTCTTTGACGCCAAGAACACCACCGCCTGGGACGACATTGTCAACCAGTTTGACGTCATTGACGCCCACACCCGCAACCACACCACCAACCTGCTCTATCACGGCTTCGACGAGTCGAAGCAGGCCGTCTGGGCCAACCAGGTCACCGGCGCCTCTCCCCTCACCTGGTCCCGCGCCGTCGGCTGGTACTCCGTCGCCCTTCTCGAGGTCATCCAGCTGCTGCCCCGCGGCCACCCCGGCGTTGCCAAGCTGTCCAAGTACTTCACCACCCTCGCCGAGGGCCTGAAGAACGCCCAGGACAAGACCGGCGGCTGGTGGATCGTCATGGACCCCCCCTACGTCAGCCGCCCGGGCAACTACATCGAGTCCTCCGCCTCCGCCCTCTTCGTCTTCTCCTGGCTCAAGGGCATGAAGCTCGGCCTGCTGCCCGAGCGCAAGTACTTCCCTGCCGCCGCCAAGGGCTACGAGGAGTTGACCACCTTTGTCATCGAGAACGCCAACGGCACCGTCAACTGGAACGGCACCGTCGAGGTCGGCTCGCTCAGCGGCGACGCCAGCTTCGAGTACTACACCTCCGTCCCCATCGCCATGAACGACCTCAAGGGCGTCGGCCCCTGGATGTTCGCCTCGTACGAGTGGGAGACCTTCAACCAGACCAAAACTGCCGGCCGCACCCGTAGCCCCCGCAGCTACAACCGCCGTTACCACTTTTAGATTCGGAGCCGGAGAAGTGACATGAAGGTGAAGAAGCATGGCTATTGAGACCAAAATGCATGGCCCCAACCATGTATATGACTTATCATACTTAATTTCGTAATCCCTCTGAAAGGGGCGTTGTACATATTTACACTCATCTGAACATAGATTTGTTTTCACTCGCCGCTTCCTATACATCCAATGTGACCAAATCCTGTCCTGCATGTACACCAAGAGGGAGGAGGGGGGGTCGCTCGTCATGGTGGAACGAGACAAGCTTGCCAGTGCAGCACCGATTCTCCATCCTTATGGGCTCGAGAATAAGTGGTCGTAAGCGTTTCCAACCTACCTTTTCAGCCCCTTCGCCGACAATTTCTTCTGCCGGGTGTACACCAACCGAAGTCATCCGGGCGCGAGCGAGGCAACATCCCTCACAAGGATGCACATACACACCCTTTCCGAGTAAAAACTTCGGGCAACGCAGACTCCCGTTGCATTCAGACTCATATCCCTCCGGAGGCGGCAGCCACGGTGACAAGCCGGTGTAAACGAAGAACCCCGCTTTCGCCTCAAGATACACTTCCCCCGGGTTTCACAGCCTCTCGGTCGCAAATTCGTGCGCCGCGGCGATCCTCCTGTTGGACTCGGAAACGAACCTATTGTGCCACGTTCTGTCCTCGAACATGACGCTCACAATCACGACAGACGGCTCTGCGGGGTTGTGGAACCGCATAACGCTCGAGAACGCCTCATAAAGGCGTCTGTTTCCGCGAGACGTCTGGAGCGTGGCCTCAAAAGCCCCCCCCCCCACCACGTCCTGCTCGAGACACGTCTCGGGTGCGGTATCGGCATACACCACCTCCACCCCCATCTCGCTCCCACAATCGAGTTCGAAGCGTCCGTACATAGACGGCGAAGTGAGTGTTCATGTCCTCTCACCGGGAGACGCCAGAGTAAGAGCGAGAACAAACTGCACGGCCGTCGGGCCCGACGCGAACTGACCATATGAGGTGCGAATTCAGGGCAGCGCGCCATTCTATTGAAGCGGATGAATCAAACTTGCGGGAATAAGCTCACAGTGTTCGGTTCAGTCCGATATGGCCTGGTGGGCAATCCATCACATGAAGATGAGGAAGGGGTTGGATCATTGGATCCACGCTCTGGAATCAGAAGAAGACTCATTGTTGATCCCGGCAGCTATGCGATTGATTAAACACTGCCAAAAAATGGCGCTGGCACAGGGGCTATTGTCCCCGTTGAGCTCTGTCGTTCGGACCGGTGTCTAAAAGGGGTAATCAATACTCGCCAACGGCGCTGCCGGAACAGAGCCGAAACCCAAGTTAGAGGGTACTGGTCTTGTATGGCCTTTCTTAGAGTTAGCCGATGGTAGTTCGGCATTGTCACATGTGCAAGAGTGGATGAACAATGCTTTCTATGAGGCTTCTCTCCTCCAAACACACCATGGCGAGCGCGTCTCCCGTTCTCCCAATCTTCGCAAAGTCAGATAAACACTTAAAGATATGGCATGGGTGACGCTTTTTGGCTAGCCGTCTGCGAAAGGAGCCTTGACTAGAGAGTCTCGTTGCACTAGGGAGACTTAAGGCCCTCATCTCGTTCAACAGCCATGGGCTGCTGGATTGGGTAAACCCAAATAGAGACGTACTATGCTCTACATGTACAGAGAACCGCATGGACCGGTTTAGCCATCGTGAGAGACCTCGGATTTCCTGCCCAAGAACGGCAGCATACCTCAAGCTGGCTTAGATTTGTTGAAAGGGCTCTCTAAGGTATCTTATAGTCTGATTGTTGTCCAACTCATGGTTCAAACACAGCACCGTGAAGCATGTGAGCAGGCGCTGCCTTCGACTTAGACACGATGCATAGCGCCTTGTTCCCTGAAGATGAATTTTGAAGCCATGCCTTTCGGATTCTGGTCGAGAGCCACAAACCATATATGAGGAGAGTCTTGGGTTTCAATGACATCGTTGTGTCATATGATTCTGTGCGCCTTGTATTCGCAACGGCGAGTACGTTCAGAGCCTGCATCGCCATCGGCCTTTACTATCCGTGGGACTTGAAGCACCATCATATATCAGCCATACTCGGAGAATCCCAAGCGGAGCTATAAGGCCTAGCCAGCGCACAAAACGTGTGATCTGGCACAGCCTGATTCTGCTTACCTGCGGCCTCCTCGTGACATTTCAACAACGGGAGGCAAAGAATATTCAGTGAATAGCCTGTAAACAAATGAAGGAGAACTAGCAGGTGCTTTGCCACCTTTCAGGCCGGCTCCCCACAAACTCACATATTGCATGAGTGAGACCGGGGTTTCTCGCCAGAAGATGACATGTTAGGAAAGCGACATCTGCAAGAGGCTTACGTGAGTCTTTCTGTCCATAGTTTACATAGCCACAGAAGAGACTCGATTATCCTACTAGAGCAGGAGGTGGATCAACTCTTCGCCAGGATGTGGGACTGAGATGGTCCAGCTGGAAACCCATATGCTGTTCAGACCGACCTAGAAACGTGGCGCAAGTGATCACAGAGTGGCTTCATCAGAGGGAACAACAGACAGTTACACGACATGATGATGGGGGCGAGCAACTGGGCTTATGCCTGCGCACTAGCGCCGGGATCGCGGGTTAGACCACGATGACATATGCAGCCCTAATCTTGATGACCCATTAGAAGACTGTGCTAATGGGAATCCGGCATGACTACGTGAAGAGAGAGGCCAGCGTTGGCTAATGGATCCGAAGTGTTTGTTGTCGTTGGAGAAGCGATTGCATGGTTCAAGGGTCAGCACTGCCCACCCACATGTGCACAAGAGTTGCTCGACTCTTGGAGTATGCTTGTGCCAAGAGAAGAGACATTGTTACCCATGTCTTCAATGCAGGTCGTATCCGTATTCAACCATTACCCTTGGTTGTTGACGATCTGAACCCAATAGCAATACCCTTGCAGCCTCGCGGGAAATTATAGCCATGACCTCACGAAGCCGTCTGAAAACATGTAAAACAAGCTGAGCGAGCTGCAAGAACGCAGCACATGAGGCGCAGGCACTGTGACGGCTGGGGGCTCAACTGGTGAGCGAGAGATGGGAGTGGATGCACGCACGATGAACAAGGGGCGGCAGAGCGAATTGGGATTTGAGGCTAGGACAGACAAATTTGATTGACTGGCGAGTTTGACGTGCATAAGGCGAGATATCTGCTGGCGGCCAGAAACGGAATAGAAGGGATGTTTTAGTACCTTGGCTGGTATCATCAGGGAAGGGGGGGCGGGTGAGCGGCTGTGGTACGGGATCAATGTCTACCGCTCTGGCGACGCGGAGTGGCTGGATCTACACTACCCAGCTACGTGGTAGAGACCATTTTAGAGGCCCGAAAGGCATTGTTGACGGTCGGAACGGGATACAAGGGGCCAGCGGGAAGGTAGAACAAACAATGGTTGGTTCCCTTGTCACGGGCGCTTCTGAGTAAAGAGCATTGCGAGTTGCCGCATACCGCCGAGGCGGAACCTCTTGCGCCTCGAGCTGGAGCTGGAAGACTTACCAAGCGTAGTCATGTGCCGAAGATTGTGAGATGACGGAACAAACTATGCACACGTAGCCGCCTCCCCCCGAAGTTGTTCGTCGACGGTCATGCGGTGGCGACGAGAGCGGTGCCTTTTCTGGGGCGGACGAGTACAAGATCCCCAAGGCCTCTGTACAGCGCGAAACGGGTGGAACGGAGTACGCGATGCCACCAGTGATTGTTGGCACACGACGATGCCTCACGCCAGAGACACGAATACCTGGGTAGAGAGGCTGACTGACGGGGTTGTGCAGTGTGGGATTCGGTCTGGCGGCCATCTCTGTGGACATGACCAGTTGACAAGTGTGTGTAAAGGTTGCTGCACGGAGGGTGGCAAGGAGAGCGAGCGGCTCGGTAGTCGACGATTGGCTCCAGGGGTCGGAAATGGTGGTGAGGGAGGCAGTCGCGGTGATGATTGAGGCAGCAGACGGGATGGTGTGGGTTGATGCTGGTTGGGCGGGCCGGGGGGTGTGTGCTATTTGGGGCCCTGTGATGTGTTGGCATGGCGTGCCAGCTCTCGTGGACGACGTAGATTGGATGGTGGGTGACCAGGGGTGGTTGTCCACTATGTCGGTGTTCTGCCGGAGTAGCGGAGCGGCCGTGAGTGAGCTGGGAGCCGAGGGTGGTTCAAGTAGGTAGGTAGGTAGGTACCCATCCAATGTTCCTCGAGTCTTTATTTCATGTCTTCAGGTCGGTCTCGATGAGGGCGCGCGTTGGGTGGTCGAGCCTGTAAGACGAGAGGCCCCCGAAAAGGCCATGCATATGCCAACTCATCAAGGCGGCCAGAAGCAGAAACAAGTCTTCTGTTAATCCCGCTTCCATCCTCCCCACGTGGATGCGATGCGATGCTCCGGGCAAGTTGCATTGCTGGTATCGATGTTGCTTGCATTTATTGGACCATCGGTGAGCGTTGATTTGTCCGACTTTGTTGGGGCAGTACCCCGGATGCTGATGAGGTGGACAAACATGGCATGACCGATTCGCTTTCCATTGAATCTGATGTTTGCAGACCGCTTCTCTGAGGCGCAAAGAAGGTCGACAAGGTCTGGTCTGTCTGTCTGTCTGTCTGCTGCGGCGGGGTCGTACTCGTAAGTACGGAGTATAGTAGGTAGTAGGTATGTATGACCGTGGACCACCAGACCCGGGACCCAGGCGGCGGTGTTTCCTCTGCAGGGCAAATAGGCTGATTTGACACATACATGTCCGGTGTCGCAGGCGAATGAGTGCGTAGTACGTATCCTTCATGTGACAGCTGTGTCCGACATGGTGAGGCAGCCAGAGCGACGATGCATCAAGGGGCGGCGGCGGTTCGCGTTGTGCAACAAGCAAGCAGTAAGACGAAGGGCCAGCTCAACCGGGCCTCTATGTGTGTCTACCTACCGGTATGTCAGTCAGAGCAGCGACAAATATGGAGACGGGGATAGCTGAGGCAAGGGACGATGAAGATGCCAAAGTCAATCAGAGGAAATGTCATGCAGTTTTCATGGTTGACCCTAGCTCAGATCTGGTTTGCGAGGAACAAGTTGGGATACCCATGGAAGAAGGGAACATGGAATAGGAGTTTGATGACTTGTTGACCCTTCATAGCAGCACAGCAGCACTAGTTGAGAGATGTCGAGGTTATTCGCTGTTGGTTGCTCGCTGGTGTTGGCGTTGGTATCGGTATTCGTTCGCGTGGCAAACGAAAAAGACAAAAACAACAAGAACAACAACTTGGTCGCATTGTGTGGCAGCAAAAGATCACACTGCCTAGAACGGCACCGGTGTGGTAATTATGGTGCACACACCAGGACCGGGATTCGACGTGTTGAATGGGAATTCGAACGTTGGCCGGCGCATTGTTTTTTCCCCCCCTTCAGGGTAGGGTCCTCCCCCCTCCTTACGTAGTAGTACACTACAAATTAGTGTACGATGTAGCAGTGCGGGCAGGCGTTGGCGGGCAACGCCTCTTTCCCCCTGTTATTTTTTTCTTTTTCTTTTTGCCTCTCGTTCAACATTTCTTCTGTTTTTGCTTGAATCTCTGCATATTCCAGTCTCAGAAGCCAGCTCTTCTACGCCTTCCCTCCCGTTGCTTCCACCTGGTGTTCCTCCTTTGCTATTGCATTGTCTTGTCTTGTGAGGTGGCAGGTGGTAAAGGCTTGCTTGCCCCATTCATTCCTTCTAGCTCCTTTCGGTCTAGGTCCGTTCTTCCCCTCTAAGCCTTTACCCCACGCTACCCGCCTCGTCGTTATGAAGGTAGGTATCCGTAGGCACTTGGGAGAAAGTACGGACAGGTACGTAGGTATTCGCCAGCGGTTCGCAGCAACAGGGAAGGAAACATCAGCCCCCTCCCCAGCCGCTCCTGCTTGCCACGCATTCACCCCGTTCCCGTTGCTTGCAGCCCAGTCCTTTTCCTTCCTTAACCGCTGGTCTGCTCTTGCCCGGTCGGTCCTGGTTCCGGCCTCTTCGGGCCACCCACCCCCTGCTTTCCAGCTGTTGGGTTGGTCCAGCAAGTCGGATAGTGGAGCCATTCCTTTGGGTCTCGTCTCGTCTCTCCTGCCGGTAGGTTACTACACTACCACACTACCTACCTCACGTCTTGCTCCCTCACCTCAGTGTGGTGGTGCTGGCCGGTTCCACGCTGCTGCCCGTCACCAGGTTGCTCCAGGTACCCAACGCTACGTACCTTGCCTTACCTTGCTTGCCTCTTGCCAACTGCTAGCCCCCGTCCGTTGTCGTGTCGTGCCTGGGCCGGCCAGCCTGGCCTCGCCTTCCTTGCCTTGTTGCTTGCTGTGCCTTTGCCTTCCTTCCTCGCCTTGCGACCCTTGCCTTTCTTGTACCGTCCCTTCCTCCCGCATTACCTTAAACTCCAACCGCAACCGGGCTTCGACTTGCTGGTCCGCTTCCTGATTGTTTCCCTCCTTTTCAAAACTTCCTTCTTACCAACCTGAACATCGCCGACCGACGAAAACACACGCCCGATTTCATGAGGAACTGGCATTGCGACGACCTCTCCTTTCCATTCCGCCCGTCCCTACCCCCTCCCCCCCTTCCTCATTACTGAACCTGCCCCGCCACTCCAGCAGATATCGTATCCACCCTCCAGCCCGGCATTCACTGTGACCAGCGCACAACCGACGATATCAAGCGGTCGCGACAGCACAGCTTTTTGCTTGCACGAGGGCTGCTGCTGTAGCTGCCCGGTCGCCTTGCATCCTCCACACTTATGGTCGCACTATGATTTCCATGCAGCGCTCCCTTTCCTCGCCAGTTCGCATAGTGTCTGTCCGTACGTCGCACGCAGCTATACTACCCACGACCTTCGTCTCTCCTACCTTGTTCTTCACCTACTGACGGCCGCTGCTTGTTGCATTACAGCTGCCCCCAAAGATGACGCGAACCAGCCTCCATCACCGACGCCTCCTCCCGAGACTTACAATCCTTCCTTCCGTTCCCGTCGCCAGAGATCTCCGAGTCCCACCCGGAGCGCAGAGGCTGCACCCGTCCGCCGTAGCGAGGACATGCCGAGGAGACCCGCCTCCAGGTCGCACCAGAAGCCCGTGATTGCCCAAGCGTCTACACCCACTGCCACCTCGCCGGCCAAGCCCGCAATGGAGCCTTCGTCTGAAGCGGCGTCCGTGTCAGCCGCCGACAAGACATCCTCGCCCGCGCTCCCTCAGTCCCTTCTCCCGGACCCGTCCTTGTACGAGAACCCTCATTTGGCCCCCGAGCCTGACACAACAACCCTGGAGGAGCTTGCCCATTTGGTTAGACTATCCAAGTATCAGGAGCGCAAGCGCGCAAACACGAGGATACGCCTGCAGAGGAACCTCATTTCCACGGCCTTGTCTGCCCGCTTGAACCGCTGCGGTGAGATTGCCCGGAAAAACTTGGTTGATTGTTTCCGGTCCGATGACAAGAAGACCTTTGCTTCTCTCTTCAACGCCATTCACGATGTGCGCAAGAGCTGCGACGAGCTACGACGCTATGCTCTTTTGGAACCCGAGATGGATTCTCTCCAGTCCCCTGCTCTGGCGTCTTCGGAAAGCCTCGACACACCCCCAAAGTCAACTTCAGGTGCTAGCTTACTGGGATCCATGACCCCTTTTCTTTCCGAGTTGCCAGCCTCCGTCAGAGAAATCTTCCTGAACTTCCTGACCCAGATCAGGACCAACCCAGACTACCTAGCCACGCGGTTGTGCTCTCTAACCCCCACAGAACTGAATGCATTTACCACACCCCACCAGGGGCTGGAGCCTGTAGAATCTGTTTTGCCCTACCACGGTCGCCCTACTGCCCGCGCTCACGCCGGCCCAAGCAGCCGGGGACCTGCACATTCACCCAATCCTATCGAGCGTTTGCTGTCCTTCCAGCGGCATGATCCCTTGTCAACTTTGGTCCATACCTGCTTCGCCAACTCCGCCGGCCCCGATAGCGCCGAAGACAGACGTCGAACTGAGATATGGGGAACGGCGCTAGCGAGACTAATTACCGAGTCCAAGGCCAGCAGCGAGCCCATGCTGATCTCCGTACTTAACGTCTGGACCGCCATGCGAGATTGGTCCGGGAAGTCCAACATGGAATGGTATCTAATGAAGATCCTCGAGGATGGCGCCTTTCTTTTGGACAAGGCCGAGGACCAACACGGGACAAGGTTCAATCTCGCCGATTGGACAGCCAAGGACAGTATCGCTGCTGAGGAATTTTATGACCGAGCCGTCAACGAGCTCTTCGAAATCATCGATGATGAGGATGCGACCGGTATTCCCGAAGGTCTCATTGAGCTGGGTAACGCCATACTAAAGAAGCTGGATAACAAGCTCGTAGAGGGCACGCGAAACTGGTTTGTGTACAAGTGGCTTTTCTCCGTCTTCCTGCTCGGCGTCGTCATCCATCCAGAGAGCCACGGTCTCATGGGCGATTACCACATCACCGAGTATGGCCGCCAAAAGATTCTCAAACAAGTCGCCATGAGGGCGCAGCAGCTGGTCGTAGAGATTACTTGGAACAAAAAGGGGACCGTCTCGACTCCGCCCAAGATCCAGGGTCACGTGGACAGCATTCTGAGCCGATTCAAACGGTCCAGATCACAAAGACCTCCAGCCAAACTGCTGCCCGCCCGCTCCATTACCTCTCTCCGGGAGACTGTTGAGGTTCACCCATATTTGGTCGTGAGCCCGGCTGACCTAGTCACACTGGTCAATGCATTGTTCCCCGAGCGCCGGCCCATGTCGGCCCAGTCCGGTGGGTTAAGATCAGGAGCTCCTTCGATTTCCGGGTTTTCGGCGATTTCCCAACCAATCTCCGTGGGAGCATCTCGCAGTAACTTCGATACAGCATCAATTCTCAGCACGAGTGCATCGTCCGTCCTCAGCGACGCTACAACGTCGCGCGAGACGACTTTGGAGGAGCAGAGGACCGGCTCACCTCAGCGGTACTCGCCCCCTGTTCTGGATCCACTCAGTCAAAGACGGCTTACCAACTACGAAGACGACGGTTATCGTCTACGTTTCGCTCTCCGTGAGCTGGGCGCTCAAGTCGGAATGGATGTCGTTCAGGGTTCATGCCACCCTTGTGCTGAACGATGGGCTGTCTTGTTCATCTCAGCGGATGGAAACAGTTTGTCAAGCCAGATGACCTATGACCCAGACGAAGAGGTCGAAGATGAGGAGAACTCCTCAACCAGCGATACTGACGATGACGAGATTGACGAGAAGCCCGAGTTGGACAAGGACTACCATCAGCTGAGAGATTCTATCCTGAAGCTCGTCCAGGACTTCGAAATACCAGCAAGTATTGAGCCCGAAGGCGCACGTGCACAGTTCAGCAACAGGGCCACTGGCATCAAGAAGTATCGATCAAAAAACAAGATCATCACGGCTGAAAAGTCCACCCCTAGCAGGAACCCTTATCGCATACGCAACGCCGAAGCGCAGGCGACTCCTGCATGGGGGAGTTTGCAAGAGGACGACAGCGCGTCCACCAAGGAGACGGAAAAGCGTGAGGAAGCAGATGCAGAGCCACCCTCTGTGCTTATCGCTATGCTTACCGCAGCCTCCGCTCAATCTCGAGCGCAAGCCGATTTCGTGTCGGCGCATCTTTATTGGAAAACGTTGCAACAACTCAACGCCCTTACCTCTGAGTCCTTGCGACGGAACGGCTTTGCAATTCTTTTGAACATTTTCTCCCGAGGACCACGAGATTCGATCCGCCGCTGCGCGTCCGCCATTGAGGAATACGATGCATGGCTCGTCTGGCTCAAGCAAAGCCAGGAGCGACACGAAGGACTCATCGACGCCATGATGAAGCGTCTGCGCGCTCTCCGTGACAAGATGTGGTACGTGACAGACGTTCGCAATTCCGCGCCGTACGAGCAAAGCCGCAATATTTGTGCTGCCCTCAAAACTATGGGTATGCCACGACGATACAACTCATATCAGCGCAATCGCGCCCATCTTTCACGAGGGCCCGCGTCAAGTTATCTGTATCGCACAGAGACACAGATCATGGACCTCCTAGCCGCTTCCGAAGAGCAGGGCGGGCCCAATAAGCTGAGCGACGATCAGGCAGATAAGACCTCGCGCTGGCTTCAACAGGCAGGGGTCGAAAACTTTTGCTGCGGAGAGGAACGCATACACAGGTTCTGCTGTGAAGTGGACACCTGCATATCAAAGCTAGTCGGCGAGTCGATCATGGACGGCCCTGTCTTGTGGTCGAGTGAGTTGTATCAACGGGACAGGCGGAACCTGGAGGCGAGCAGAAACGGTCCTCGCGACAGAGACCATCCATTTGACGACACTGCCAGCGTCATGAGTGACCCGGACCGGCGGTTCTTGTCTACTGGCCGGCCTAGCTCTGTTCGGGACTTGCGGGGCATGTCAGCTCACAACTCAAGTCAGCAGTCGTTCGACTCTGGCAGCTACCGTTTCTCAAGGGCAAGCACAGTCTTGTCCGACATTATAGATGGACAGGACTATTTTGGCGTCTCGTCGCCTGTTCACACCATCGACTCCAGTTCTACGTTTTGGTCGCCGTTTCAATCGGCGATCTCACCGAGCTCGACAACGTCCCGCGCCCAGTCCCCGACAACAAGCATGACGAACCTGTCTAGCGTGTTCCAAAACCCTCAACATCATTCAATGGGCTCTCAAGCAAGCCAGTCAACTGGCAGACCAGGTACCTCGGCATCCTCCAACGAGACAATCCACCAGCAACGCCTGTCAGAAGAGAAGGCCCGTTTCCTCAACGAGCTGCGCCAGACGTTGGTCAGCCTACTGCTGTCCGATCTAGGCACTCTTGTCTTCTCTCGCGGTTCGGAAACCGACGATTGGTTTTCTACTTTGGGTCAAGAGTGCATCGATAGGCGAGATGCCCTCGACAGACGCGCGCGGAGAGCGGGGAAGTCCGGTAAACTCTCGCTGAGACCGCGTGTCATTGAAAAGAAGAAGAGCTTTGGCAACTTGCGAGGTGCTGGCGAGACCGACAAGAACTCCGAAACCACAGAAACCGCAAGCGCTCCGGGAAATGACAGCCCAGCGACAAGCGACACTGTTTCCACCCGACCCAAACATACTCCCAAGGAGTCTACACCCGAGTTCCCTTTCAAGAAGGCTTTCCAACGCCTGCTCCGCATGTTCAGCGTCCATCCAAACCCTTATGCCAAACTCAATGCTCTGTATGAGCTACAGCAGCTCATCATCGCATCTCTGGCGAATGGTTCGCGAAGGTCAAGGCTGGGATGGAACCGGCAAGAATTCATGTCCGGCTCAGGCGATGATTCCGCGGGAAACAGTCGCCCTAATCCTCTCGAAGAGGCAATTGACAACGTCAGAGGCAGACGTTCACACACACTTCTGCAATCGCCCCTGACCTCGCCACCGATCATGGGACCGCACCAGATGCGGCAAAGTACTAACGAGAATCGGAACCTTGCTTCAGGAATCTCATCTACCACTGACGCTGTCACCAATGTTTTGCGGACACTTTTCCGAGACGCGTCTATCCGCCCAAAGACACTCTTCCGTGACTTACAATTCATTGCTGCTTTCGTCAACCCAGTCATTCTCGACAACACAGACAAGGGCACTGCATTCTGGGATACGGGCCTGGCTGCCTTGGGTCTCAAGCAAGAAGTGTGCCGTACTATGATTGAGGTAGCAGACGAGGTCCAGTGCGTGTATACGAGCACTCGCAAGACGACGAACGAAACGCCCGTTCAAGATGCGGAACGGCCAGAAACCGATTCTCCTCCTCCTGTGACAACAGCGTACAGCTTGGCACAGGCAGGCAAGATGTGGACCATCACGGCGAAGGAGGGTCTTCCGACAGCTCAACGAGAGCTGGCAATCTTTTACCTCTCCAACCCTGAGCTTGTGGAGCGTACCACCTTACCGCTCTCCAAGCCGAGAGAGGTCTTTAAACAAGCCGTCATGGACAAGTACGCCGGAGCGTCTGGACGGACCGGCCCTGGCACCAGGCTCTATGCTGGTGACAGAAACCGCACGACGGGCGCGTCCGGTCTCAGCGGATCTGTTGGTTCCCAACATCCCGGGCAGGATTCAGGCTCCAAAGACGGAGATGTTCGCAGCGACCCCGCTCTGATGTGCGTGGCAGTTCACTTTTTCCAGGCAGCAGAACAGGGCGGCGACGAGCTTGCCACTTCGTTCCTCCGCCAGAATGAGTTCAACGCCATGGGATAGATGGCAGGTGGCTGATTCCACCTATTCCGCCTACTTTATTCAATTCTTATTTCACTTTGCCCCGACCTTGTTTTCGCTCGGGTCTCGCTGCGATGGAGACAGGTAGAGTTTGTGGAACCATCTGCGGGTTCAGTGTTCTCTCATCCATCACCCGCATACACAGAACATATATATATCGGTACCCCTGGTTGGTCAGAAGGTCGCTGCGACTTGGCAATAGTGCAGCAGGCAGGGTTTGCTTCTTCCCCCCCTTTCCCAATATCTTCTTTTTCTTCTTCTTTTCTTTTGCTTTTTTTATAGAGGGCAGCGGTTATGTGGGCTTTTATGGAGGATATACCACTTTTTTATGCATCAGATCATGACTAGAATATGAAATACAGGCTTTGGGTCCATGAAGCTAGCTGCATTAACATTGGGTGTTGTGCTGTGACAGAATCTGTTCTTTGACGATGACGACTAGTGGTGCACAGGAGGCGAGGGGCGTGTGTAGGTTGGACAATACCCTTGTTGGTTTGGCCCACATACTTGTAATGGAACAAAAAGCACGCTTGCAACAATGGACATGGATAACTTCGAGGGCGGACAAGGCACTGTGGTTTTATTTACCTAGTTCAGAGGCGCAGCGAATCGACCAGTAACGTATATTTTCATGTGCAACACAAAATCTCACACGGGTGCTACCGGCCCCGGCCCGGCTTGGGCTAATTCCATGTGAATCAAGCGACATTCAGCCTCCTTCTCCCCGTAGTGCGCCCGGCCTAATTTTACCCTTTTGGTACAAGGGGATAGTAGTATTGAAAACAAACAACAATAGACAATGATCCTCCGTTCGAGACCTGTAACGCCGTTCTTTCCATTTTGTTAAACTCGTATGCACGTCAGTCCATCCGTCCCAGCTGTTGCTGCCTCGCTTCTGTTGAGAAATCATGGGCTTTTGATATACCGCCACCTTGTTCCCGGATCATGAAGCATATCTCGTTGGAAATGAGGTCTACTGCCCCCTGCCAAAGCGGATGTCAAAGTCCTTGAGCACGCTCATGATACTCGCCGCCTCGACCTCGATGGGCAGGCGGGACGATGATGGTAGTGTTTGGCCCGGGTTGGGTGCTGCGCGGAGCTTGGGCAGCCACGAGCCAATGTCATCGGCAGCTTTTTCAAAGTTGCGATGGCTAGACAACGTTTGGTAGGCCTCGGCACAGCTCAGGCTCAGACCGAGCTTGCCCTTGGTCGGAAGACGAGGCGGCGCTGACTCAGACTTGCAGCACCCGCCGCTTGCGCCCGCACCGCCGCAGCACCCGCCACCAGAGCTTCCGCCGTTGCGCTCGATGTTTGCGGAGAGGGCGCGGCAGAACAGGCCTGATTTGGGATCAGCGAGACACTGGGCGCAGGACCCGGGACCCTTGGGACCGCAGCCACGGGACACGGGGGCTACGGGCTGGGTCGTCTGAGGACGGGGCCGGAGCTTGACGGCACCGTTGGCGTCGATCTCCATGGGTATGGGTGGAGGGACAGCGTCGTTCTCTGACGGGGGAGGGGTTTGGGTCTGTTGTGAGTAGGCGGGGGGAGGACCGTAGTCGGTAGTAGCGGGGGGGCCGAGGGGTATGGCAGTGTCGGCGCAGAGGCAGTAGCTTCCGTCCTTGCAGAACCCGCAGGAATCCTTGAAGGCCATTGAGGGCAGCTGGGAGTGAGACTGAACGAGGGAAGAGGTTGTCGTCGGCTGCTGCTGCTGCTGCTGCTGCTGAGCAGGTGCCTTCTTGGAGAACATGGCCGTAAAGTCGATCTCCGTCTCCTCGTCTGGTGGGGTCGGCTCGGTACGGTGCCGCTTCTCCACAGAGACCACTGCCGAAGGCGAGGGCGCCCTCTTCAGGTCCGAGACGATGGCGCTCTTGATAGTCTCTTCAAGGCACGCGCATCTGCCTCCGAGAGTGCAGTTGCCGCAGCCTATGACAGTGTCGGCAAGAATGTCATTGGCGCAGGCGCAACTGTCGGGGCCGCATGAGCCACAGCCAAAGGGGGCGGGAGAGTCTGACATGTGGGTTGAGTCCTGGGGGGAGACGATCTGCGAGATGGAAAAGGGCTGGTTTGAGTGGCCGACCGAGGGGTTGGAGGGTTCATGATGGGTAAACTGAGAGTCTCGGCGGCGGGGGGATGGCAGGCGCCTCGGGGCTGTGGCCTGGTCACTCCAGCGCCTTTTCAGGCCCTCGAGCTCTGTCTCGGCCTTGACGCGATCCTTCCTCTCGCGGTCCAGCATGTTCTCAAGGACGAGACACCGGGACTTGAAGGACTGGAGGTCCATTTCCAGGCCGTGCACCCTGTCCTTGAGTTCCTGCTCGGCTTTTTCGTGGGTCTCGCGGATTTCGTCGAGCTGCTCCTCCAGCTCGCCGACCCTCGCAGCCCTACGCTCGCGGAAGGCGCGCTGAGCGGCACGATTCTGGGCCTTGCGCTTGGTGGGCGGGGTGTCGGTGGCGGGCTTACGGCCGGGCTTTGGCCTGGGAGGGATGACCCATTCCTTGGTGGTCATGGACATCTTGGGGGCCTCGGCAGTGGGCGGTGGGCTGATGACGGAAGCCATGGACATTTTGTTCAAGACCTGGGGCGGCCTGACGGATATGGGTTGCGCAGCGTTCGGTCGAATGGCAGGAAGCTGATGCGGGGCGTGGGAGGCATTTGTCGGACAGTTCGGGGTTGTCGTCGGTGCGCCGCCGGGGGTGCTCGCAGGGGGCGAAGCGGCGTAGACGGGGGTAGAAACGGCAGAGTTGGAGCGGGAGGTGGCTCTGTAAACGCTACGAGCGTCGGTGGCTGACGGCGAGGTGGCGAGGGAGAAGGTCGAGGGAGAGTTACGTTGGTGTGAGGAGGAGGAGGAGGAGGAGGAGATATCGGTGGAAACATCCAAGGCGGCCATCATGGAAGAGACGAGCAGTATCGGCAGCAGCAGCAGGGTGGTTCCACAGGCGGCGGGGTTCGGCCGCTCATTCGCCGGCGGGTAGTGGGATGCAGTGGTGACAGCTGGGATGCGCCAATGACAGGTGGCAAGAAGGCTTGCTGCAGATGTTTGCCGGCTGGTAAATCCGAGGAGGCGGTTCGGCCCAGGTGGACGCTCGGCTGGCTAGACCGAACGAGATGAGATGGCTTGAGAATATGTGAAAGGGGAATGAGATGAAGCGCCACCAAAGACAGCTTGTTCTTCTTCTTTGGGGGAACGTGCGTCTTTCCTCGCTTTCTATTTCGGCAATGCAAGTGATGTTGCCCAAGAAATCCGCAATGAAGATTTGTGGTAGAGCGATATGGGCTGATGCCGAGGTAATGTAAGACGATTGCAAAGCTAACAGGACAGGACGGATGTGCGTGTGGCCAAGTGCTAGCAATGTCGGAAGCAACCTTCAACGCAGTGGTTGTGCTATTGGTGCCTAAGTGATTCTCGAGATGCAATGAGTACAAGGATAAGGAAAAGAATAGCCAAAAGATCATGCCCTAAAAGGGTGTTGGCAAGAATTGTTGTTGATGGGGGAGAGATTGCTGTTTTGCTTCTCTTTCTTCTGGCAGTCGGGGCGACGGATGTGAGCTGGTAGAGTTCTCGGTTGATTTGTTGGTTCGGAGAGGAACCGAAAACAATGGCCAGGGCAGAGGAGGGGATTGGAGGGACACGACGGACTCGAGGGGAATGAGGGGGAGGGAAGATTCAAAAGCAATTGTGATCTGATTGATAAGATTATCTTGCTCGCAGGGTCTCCACTCACCTGGGTCGGTAGTCGCTGGTTTTTTTCTTTTTTCCTTTCTTTTTTCTTACTACCTAGGAGAACCCGGACCTTTGTCACTCACTCCGTCACTTACTGTGTACAATGTACTTGCCCACTCTCACAACGCTCCAGTCAGGTCCCCACTGGTTCCAAACCATCAGTGGTATATTCATATTGTACCCCGTACTGCGTAGGGTACGGATATGGATACACACACACACACACTCGTCATTGTTCTCATGGCTGGGCCACGGCACCCACAGCACTCAATGGGTGGGCAGAAAAACACACTGTCGAGCCCTGCGTGGGATCGTTCGATCAACCCCCATGTGTCTTTCCGGTTTCCTGCCCCCCAGTCCAAGCTGCGACTTCGGATCATGCTTTCGACCTGCTCAGTGACTGACTAGGTTGGTACTCACTCGGACCGGCTTTTCCCTTGCATCGGCCCTGTCGGCACCAGGGGATCCACTGCTATGCGCCTCAATCCCGCTTTAGCGGCTTGTCCTTGGTGGCGGCCGATGTCGCAACTGGCCTGGCGGGTACATATGAGCATGGCCATACCATCAGCAAATAAGGTTGATTACTTGTCTGATGACCTATTTCGTATGCCGAGATGTCTGTTGCAGGCATCAACAGAGTCATGTAGACACTCCCGAGGGTCGAGGACACCACCGGCGAGGGACCTTCTACAACAAACGTTTATGGCACTTCCTATCTTTGGCAATAAGTATCCACGAGTATGGAACCGGACTGGGTTGGAGGACCAACTACGGTAGATAAAAAACGGTACCTAATCCGTGCATGATTGTGTAAATGAATGATGTACGGATACTCCATACACTAGAGAGCAAAGTGAGCATGGCCTGGTAACCACAGGCCCTGTGCCCCAATTGATCTCTGACCGCCAGTCGGCCAATCGTCTCGGGTTAGTTCATCGGGAGATCAGGAGGTACTTGATAAGATGTCACAACCCACCATACTCTATCCGTATTACCGTGCATGGCATCGCACACACACACACACACACACACACACACACACACACACACACACACACACACATACACACCATTTTTACAACCAATCGTTGGGTTTGGTCCCCGGCGGCTACTTTTATACCGGTACTATAGTATGTCCTGTAGGTAGGACTCATGGGGCACTGTAATAAGCTTTTTTCGTGCTCGCTGAATCTCTCAACCCTAAGCCACTTTACGCGCAATCAGATCGGCCCTTTCATCCCACATTTGCTGATCCAAGTGGAGGCCCGCAGGCGGGAGTGGGAGGAAGGGGAAATGACCTACATGGTACAAAATACAGTAGTTTATATCACTATTCGTACACTGCGTGGTGACTTAAAGTGCAACCCTCCATGTACCCTGTGTACATTATCTGGTCGACGGTAGTTATCGGCATAGCTCAGGCTACTCGTGTGGCTCCGTACAGGGTTCAAAATTGGCCAATCCAAAGCCGACTCAACTCCCCTCTACGCCAAAGCGCAGCAACGTGTCCGCTGAACGAACGGCTGCTGTGGGAACGTGGTGGATCGCCCACTGTACTGATACCATCCGATGTCTAATTCCCACAGTGAGCCCCCCGCGAAACCCAATCCGACCTCACCAAATAGCTGCATACCTATCCTGTCCTATCCTCCTATCCTATCCTACCCTCCAATAAAGTCTTTGCTGCCTGCGGAAGGGGAACCACCAACGTGCCATTCGAGCCGCACCTCACGAAACCAAGTCCCATCCAATTAATCACTGGCTCCGGTTCTCAAGCCTTGGCAGCTGAGCTGAGCTGGGTTGACATTTTGCTCCGAGCTCCAAAGCCTTACGTCGACTCAACCACCGAGGCCACGTCCGACCACCACGGCGAGAACCACCAGACACACACACTCTCACCCCCATACACAATCAAGATGGCCAATCTCGGTATCCAATCGCCGACCCGGCAGACGGCCGCCTTTCACCTCCCCTCTTCTTCGTCCTCTTCAGCCGCTAGCGATGACGACGAAGACGTCCCGCTCCCCTTCCCGGCCGCCCTTCCTCGATCCGACTTCCTCGCCCCGAACTTCCACCCGGCAAGCTACCTGTCCGCACTGCCGCATCGTCATCAAACCCTTGACGACCTGAAGGCCGAGCTGCGCGACCGCAGCGCCGCCATCAGTGCCGAGCTTCTCGAGCTCGTCAACGGCAACTACACCGCCTTCTTGTCCCTCGGCAACGAGCTCCGCGGCGGTGACGAGAGGGTCGAGAATGTCCGTGTCGCGATGCTGGGTTTCCGGAGGGCTGTCGAGGAGATCAAGGGGAGGGTGCGGACGAGGGGGGAGGAGGTCCAGGGCCTCAGTGGTGAACTGAGGGAGGTACGCCGGGGCATCGAGGTCGGGAGGAAGATGCTGGAGTTAGACGAGCGGGTGGCCGCGCTGGAGGAGCGTCTCGCGCTGACGAGTCTCCCCGGGAAGGCCCCACAAGACGAAGAGGAAGACGACTGGGACACGGATAGGGGCGACGAGGAGGACGAGGAGGAAGGCGACGCAAGAAGCCTGGTGGGTAGCAGCCCGGCGAAGCTGGCGGGCTTCGCGCAGGAGTTCTGCATCATCGAGGCCCTCGCAGACGCCATCGGGCGTGAAGCCCAGTTCGTCGTCAAGACGGAGGCACGCATGACGCGGTGCCGAAACACCATCCTCCTCGATCTGGGAACGGCAATGAGGGAGGCGAGAAAGGCGGGGAATAGTGGACAGGCCAGGGTAGTCAAGTACCTGGGCCTCTACGGGCTGCTGGACGCCCAAGCAGAAGCTATCAGGGCTCTCAAGAGCAGTTGATCGAGCTATGGCGGACAGATGGGAAGGAAACCCACCCGGCAAAGAAACAAAGTAGCGATGCATATGATACCCAATTTTCCAACATGTTTTAAAGCGCTATGCCACTTTCTGATACACGTGTATATAATACATTTTGATCCCAACCCCCTATCTTTTTCTTGGTCTCTCGGTCCTCTCCCCCCCCCTCATCTTATACAAGTTACATAACGGTGGTCAGGTGATCCGGCGTAACCTTCTCGTCCGTAGAGGCAAAGTTGCCGTTCAAGCTGAAGCCGGGGCCCTGCGAGGTACTCAGCACAACCTCGTGGACCTCCTTGGGCGTGTCGAGTTCGGCAATGTCGGATTTGATGTTGCCTACAAAGGCCTTGACGTTGGCCGACAGCATCTTGGGGGTGAAACCGAGCTGGCCGATGGCCATGCGGATGGCGCCCATGCGCTCGCGGTAGTTGTCGGCGCCCATGGTCTCGCGGATGGAGCTGACGACGTTGTCGGTGATGGTCTTCATGCGGCGGTTGGGCATCAGGCCCTTGGGACCGAGGATGCGGCCCAGTGCGGCCTTGTTGAGCGCGGCCTCGCTGTCGCTGTGGCAGATAAGGCGGTTGAAGACGATGTTCTCGTTTCGGATGGCCTCGAAGACGGACTCCTCGCCCGCGACCACGGCGCCGGCCTGCAGGGCCTGCTGCGCGGTCGGGCTGCCCTCGGGGCAGATGACGCCGACGCGGATGTCAGACTTGACGGGGTTCGGGAGACGGATGCGGTTCTTGATGACGGAGCCGTTGCGCGGCGTCTTGAGGTGGACGGCAAGCTCGTATTTGATTGCCTGGGGAGGACGGCCGACTTCGTACGCGCGGAGGTAGCTGCCATGACGAATCAGTAAAGTGTTCAGGGGGGGGGGGGGGGGGATGGAGGTTTCCGTATAAACGCGAAACCCAACCGGAGGTGGAAAAGGAAAAATATTGAACATACCGCATGGCGTCGCAGAGGGAGAACTGGGGGCAATTCTTGACGTTGTACGTCTTAAAGTCCTTGGGGACCTTTTTCTTCTTCTTCTCCGTCTTCTTGTAGCCCCCTTGGTTGCTCGCATATCGTGGCTGGGCGACAGAGGGAACCAGAAACCGGGGTATCGTGGAGGCTGTCGGCCTTGCTGAGGCAGAGAGGCTCAGGCGGGCCATCGAGGCCATGCATTGGGTTGTTGACGCCATCACGGGGCCGGGTATACGTGAACTGGAGGGTGCAACACCAAGCTCTGGGCCTCACGGATTTGTCGCGCGTGAAGCTCTAGCCAAAGACTGCAGAAAAAAGATGGTGGCCTGAGAGGCAAGGCAGAAGACGTATCTTATCGATCAAAAATGGCTTATCAGAGGACCGGTCCGGTTCCGGTGTGGACGGTACGTACTCGAGTCCTTCAACATACCACTGTCATCAGAGTACGGTATGAATGAAGAGTCATAATTACCTGCTATGCTTGGTTTTTACTATTAAAAGGGGCCTTGAAATAGATCATTGGTATTCTTTTACATCCCCTTTTTCTTGAGCCTTTTTAGACTCTCTTGTACGGCGCAATCAACAAGTAGCAAGCTCCGTCCTCGGTCAAGGACCTCCAAGCCCGCTGAGCCACCAATCACAGTCACTCCCTCTCTTCCCGGCCGAGTGCTCTCGGTGAGTCCCCCTCCGAGCGTTACCCCTCCATGAATTTTAACCCCACCACGAAATATCAGCCACTCCGCGCATTTGACTCACGAGACAACAGGACTGCCCTGCCCATCGTATTCTCCCGACCTCTTGATCATCGTAATCGGATCATAACACCGCCATCATGAAGGCCGAGGAGCTCCAAACCCTTCCCGCCGCCCTGGCCGGCGACTTCAAGTCGATCGAGCCGCACCTCCGCGCCCTTGACAAGCACCTGACGCTGCGCACCTTCGTCGAGGGCTACTCGCTGGGCGAGACCGAGACCAAGATCTGGCAGACTCTCAAGCTCAACAAGGCTGCCATGGGCTTCATCCGCAAGGGTACAATGGCCAACCTCACCCGTTGGTATGTCGTGGAGCACCTTCTCTCGTCCGCCGGTATCGTGCGAACACTGACCACACGATCCCAGGTTCACCTTTATCGAGAACACCCACCCCGAGATTCAAGCCGAGACGAACGCCGCCGATGCTGAGCGCAAGGCCAAGGTCGTCGCCGCCAGTAAGAAGGGTGCCAACTACTCGCTCTCCCTCCAGAACGCCGAGGCAGGCGTCGTCACACGTTTCCTCCCCGAGCCCTCGTGAGTGCCTGCACGGTTTGTCATACAGCAAACAGCACCCCCGCCTCTAACCGTGTCGCAGAGGATACCTTCACATCGGTCACGCCAAGGCAGCGCTTCTGAGCGACTACTTTGCCCACGAGGCCTACAACGGCAAGCTCCGCCTCCGTCTCGATGACACCAACCCCGCCAAGGAGAGCGAGGAGTTCCAGGATGCCATTGTCGAGGACCTTAAGATGATGGGCATCACACCCGACGCCCTCTCCTACACCTCCGACTACTTCGACTACCTCTACGAGACCTGTGTTCGCCTCATCAAGGAGGGCCACGCCTACGCCGACGACACCGAGCAGGAGACGATGCGTAACGAGCGCACCGAGGGTATCGCGTCCAAGTGCAGAGAGCGCAGCGTCGAGGAGAACCTGCGTATCTTTGAGGAGATGAAGAACGGCACCCCCGAGGGCCTGAACAACTGCATCCGTGCCAAGATCTCCGTCGACAACGTCAACAAGGCCCTGAGAGACCCCGTCATCTACCGCTGCAACGTTGAGAACAAGCACCACCGCACCGGCGACAAGTGGAAGATCTACCCCATGTACGACCTCGCCTGCCCCGTTGTCGACTCCCACGAGGGCGTCACCCACGCTCTCAGGTCCACCGAGTACACCGACCGTAACCCCCTGTACCAGTGGTTCATCGACACCCTGAAGCTGCGCCAGGTCTACATGCACGACTTCAGCCGCATCAACCTCGTCCGCACCTTCCTCTCCAAGAGAAAGCTCGCCAGGATCGTCGAGAAGGGCACCGTCTGGGGCTGGGACGACCCCCGCATGCCCACAATTCGTGGTGTGCGCCGTCGTGGCATGACCATCCCCGCCCTTCGCGAGTTCATCATCAAGCAGGGGCCTAGCCGAAACGTCGTCAACATGGACTGGGCGTCGTTCTGGAACATCAACAAGAAGGTCATCGACCCCATCGCCCCCCGCCACACCGCCATCCTCGAGAAGGACGCCGTCAAGGTCAAGGTCGTCGGCGCCGAGGCCCCCGCCGAACCGCGCACCGAGGACAAGCCCAAGCATCCCAAGAACCCCGACGTCGGCACCAAGAAGGTCGTCTTCTCCAACGAGCTCATCCTCGACCAGGCCGACGTCAAGAGCTTCAAGAAGGACGAGGAGTTCACCCTCATGGGCTGGGGCAACGCCTTTGCCCGCGAGATCGGTGCCACGGACCCCATCACGGACCTCACCGTCGAGCTCCACCTCAAGGGCGACTTCAAGACGACGGACAAGAAGGTCACCTGGCTCTCGACGGCCGGCACCAAGCTCGTCAAGGCCGAGCTCTGGGACTTTGACTACCTCATCAACAAGGACAAGCTCGAGGAGGACGACGTGCTCGAGCAGGTCCTCAACCCCAACACCTCCACCATGGAGACGGCGTGGTGCGACGCCGGCGTCGGCGAGCTCAAGAAGGACGATATCATCCAGCTCGAGAGACGGGGCTTCTTCCGCGTCGATAAGGGCCTCGACGAGGGCGACGTGGTTGTTCTGTTCAACATCCCCACCGGCAAGGCCAAATAAGCCAAGTCGAGGTTGTCGATTTTGTAGCTTAAAAAAAGAAAGGACATGAAGATTCGAGGCATAAACTGAGAACGCCGCACGCCCTAGAGCCGTACCTTTTAATCCATCATATGCTGCAGCTTAGAAAATCTCACCCACTGAAAAAGAAAAAAGAAAACCCATGATTCTTCTGCTATTCAACCTCGGCTGAGGGACTCTTTCGGAAACCCCGACTAACAGCGGCGGAATGCCATTGGGTTCTGTCAAGGTAGATTATTGCAGTAGGGCAACACGTAATAACTGGTTGGCTCATCAGACCGTCGTTATCATCGGCTCGGGTTCCTGTATAGGCACTGTTACGAGGAGCCCAATTGCTGGGAGTTCTGGGGCAGCGACATGCTCTTCTTCACATCGCAGGAAGACGCCCACTGATTGCAGATATGCATCTTCCGCACGGAGACCCAAGCTGGGGTAAGACGCAATGCCATGATAGCTCCATCACCAGGACATGAATTTACAAGAAAAAGATAGGAAGCGAATTCCGGTAGGTAGCACTCTCGCGCTGCTCCCTGTCAACCACCAACAAGCCCCTACCGTCCTGCCAAGCTTCGAAAGACTGGCGCAGCATCTTGTCCTGTCTTCCTCATCCTTCGACTATCTTCTAGAGTTCTATTGCGCCACCCAGTCGGATAAGCGGAGTGACCATCCGAGGCCCAGATTAAGGAAGATTCCCGTAGGACGAGGCGTCCAACTCGAATTCGACCAATCCATCGGTTCATGTTCTGTTCAAATAGGATCCCATCGCTTCCCTAGTAAGCTCAGGTCCGGGTAGATCGTTATCAGGGTCCCCCATCTGCTAGTAACCTTATTGGAGCCCAATTGCCGCGCGCATAGGAGCTCTTGCATTATCTCTGGGCGTGACAGATATCGTCAAACTCTCATCTCTTCTTGAATCCGACCGCGCCCCGTTGCCTATCGTCCCCTGCAACGGCCCATTCTCCCAAAGAAGAAAGCCTCTTTCATAAACTCGTATTCTATTCAGCCCAACCTCACTCGCAATGGCTGAACCGCACAACACCCCGTATCCACCCGCAACACCGCAATGTCAAACACCTCGCTCCTCACCGCCGCGTCCTCACCAGGCCATGACAGCCGGAGCCTTAACCGCAGGAGTCGCGGCATCGGCAACCGCAGACGGCACGCACGTGAAGCCCAGAGTGCTTCACATCGGCGACCCAATCAAGTACAACCCACATGCCTACGCCGCCTTCGCGGCGCGGTGCGAGATCATCCGACCCACGACGCCCGAGCGCCAGCGCCCCGCCTTCGCCGCGGCGCTCCGGGACGGCAAGTGGGGTGACTTTTCCGCCGTGTTCCGGCCGTTCTGGGGCACCGGCGGAGAGATGGGCAACTGGGACGCCGAGCTGATTCCGCTGCTGCCCGCGAGTTGTCGGGTATTTGCGAGCGCCGGTGCGGGCTTCGACTGGGCCGACACGCGACTTCTCGGAGAACGGGGTGAGTTCCTCCCGGCGGCTTGTGTCGCGAGGTTCAAGGATGATGTTGATCAATCGGACTGACAACATTAGGAATCATATATTGCAATTCCGGTCTCGCGGCCGCCGAGGCAGTGGCAGATTTCGCCGTCGCCCTCGTCATATCAACCTTTCGCCACCTCCCGTGGTGCATGACCGCCGCCTCCGACCCCGCAGCCTTCCAGGACTGCCACGCTGGCGCCACAGCCGTCTCGCACAGCTTGCGCGGCCACGTTCTTGGCTTGATCGGGATGGGAAACATCGGCCAGCAGGTCGCCCAGCGACTCGGCCTCGGATTCCGCATGGACGTGCACTATTTCGACATTGTTCGCAAGGATGCCGCCATGGAGACTGTATCGGACGCGACGTTCCACGAGACGCTCGAGTCGCTGCTCGGGGTCTCGGACTGCGTAGTACTGTGCACCCCGGCCGGTGGCAAGATGATCACGGCCGAGTCCCTGGCCTGGTTCAAGCCCGGCTCGCGGTTCGTCAACGTCGCGAGGGGGAGCCTCGTGGACGAGAACGCCCTGGCCGACGCGCTGGAGTCCGGGCGGATTGGGAGCGCCGCGCTGGATGTGCACGCCGACGAGCCGAGGCCCCATCCGCGGCTGCTGAGGCTTGCCGAGACCAAGGTCATGTTGACATGCCACAACGCCGGCGGGACGGTCGAGACGCACAAAGGGTTTGAGAAGCTGAGCATGGAGAACATTATGGCCGTGCTGAGCGGTGGCAAGCCCATCACGCCGGTAAACTTACACCATCTAAAACAGTAATGCCTAAGATCCGCTCAACGTTGGAGAAAGCATCAAGAAGAAGGGCAAGCGAATGCACCTCAAGATACCCTCGGGGGGCCGGCCATGAACTTTTAGCAGTAATCCGATACGATCCTGCACTGGTCGTACGAGTGGGATCTGGCGATATGGCATGGCGGGGGTCTGATAATGAATCATGAAACGATGGGTTTTTAGGGCTTCGGCCTGGAATCTGCGTCTGCGTTTGTGTCTGTATCCAATAATACGGAGATTCGCACTAGAAACCCTTGAACCTCAAGTTGTGCTGTCTCCTATTGCCATCACAGTTCTTCCTCCATCTCTGGTGAGTCGAGAGCGAACCATGACTCTCAGCGCCCGATGGGCCAGTCGCTGCAGCACAGCCGGCTCACTCACACCCTTCCCGTGCAGAGCAAGCACCGCACTTGGTGCAAAAACCAGAGCTTGTCCCGTATGCAACGAAACAATCATGCTGAACACCTCCATCATCGGGTCCTTACCTCCGATAGGAATCGGACTCACTGCCTGAACCTCATCCTCTTCGTCCGTCACCGTAACCGACATGGATGAGATTCCCGCCAGGTGCTTGCCAAGAGTGCGTAACCAGTCGGGGGAGGTGAAACGATGCACCACCGTCATTGAGCAGAGGTCGAGAAGTTTCGTCGAAACTGTTGGTTCTTGCGTTGAGATAAGCACTCGGACGCCCAGATGACGCTGGAGCCGGATTGTTTCGAGGAGTGCGTTTGTCAAGGCCTGGCTTTCCCCAGACTCCTTCATGTACTTGTGTGCCTCGTCGAGTGCAACTACACGGCCGATAGGGGACTGTTGCTCAAGGAAGAGCGACAAGCAGATGTTGAAGAGGGAGCAAGCCAGCTCCGCAGTCACGCAAGGGCATGACAGGTCAACAACTGTCAACTGCCCAGACTTCAAATCACATAGTTAGCTCAATACCAGATATTGATAGCGGGGAGAGAGGAGATACTTTAGGCTGCCAATCAATGGGTTCGCTCACACAACCGAGCGTCTCCTTCGCCATGAAGCTCTCTAGGGTGTCAAGACGCTGGTTCAGAGGGTTTAGCTGGCCTGGAGTCAAGTCCTCGCGGCCCAGGAGCCTTCTGAACTCGGCGTAGCTGAAGCCGAGGCCGGTTCTCTGTTGCTTCATGCGCATATCTCGCAGGATACGGTTGACTACGTGGAGGTAGAGCGGCATAGAGCCGCCTTCCCCGACGGCCATCAGGTCGTTCATGCGACGAGTGTTGAGGTCATCGTCGCTCAGCTTCAAGGGCTTGATCGTGACATTTGGTATTCCGCTGTAGATTTTCTGTAAAAAAAAGCATCAGAACCATGCAAGACCTTGTGGAGAAGTTAGAAGAGGGATACCTGGATTGTGCGGACATTCGTGGGAGCACAGAGGACTCTGACTGAAGCTTGCTCGTGGGAGGCTATGAACGCAGCCTCACATGGCAAACCGCCAGAGTCCGAGACGAAACTGTCGTAATGGAAGACGATCCCTGTCAGGGGATGAGGCAGCTGTCCCAGCTGGCTTGGAATGAGGCAATTCTCAAGCAGGCAGGCGAGTGTGTTGCTCTTCCCCGACCCTTGGCTTCCGCAGATGAAGACACTAGAGGGACATGCGACGTTGTGGAACAGGCGCGTTGCTTCCAATGAAGTGACACCTCCCGAGATGCTGGCGCCAAAGAGGCCGAATTGTGAGGGAGGTGACCTATCGATGAGGGGGACCGTCAGAAGTGGGCTGGAGACGACTTCGTCGTTGTACTGCGTTTGCGGTTCCAGGGCTAGGTGCTTCAGCTGGACAACGATATCCGCTTGAGGCTCGGTTTCGGAAAAGACACCATCAGTGTCAGGAGTTGGCTTTCCAGCCATCTCGTCAAATCGCAGAGGCGTCGAAGTCGTGTCTCCTAGAGGCGAGAAAGTGAACAGCCCAAAAGGTTGATGAGGGTGAGGCAATACCAGTAGCTGTAGGGAATGAGAGATTTCCATTCTTAAATAATAGAAGGTTGCTGCTGCGCAGTAATGGTTCGATAGACTCCTCTGCTAGGTCATCGGAAGGCACTGGCGGGTGTTGGACGGACCAATGTTCTAGATGTCTTTGGATTCAATTGATGATGAAGGCAGCATCCCGGCTCCAAGCAAAACCCATCTTTCAGGCTGGCTGCATCTTTCCTTGTCGCAGACACACGACATCAAAGGTCACAGCAGGGTTCCATAATGTACTAGAACCAAGTTCTGCAGTATCGACATCTTCTCTTGTGTGCCTGATCTTTGGGACAACAAAGACACGACGTTAAACACCATCATCTTGTTGAATCCATGACTGCGGTGCCCCTCACTTTCGTTTGCACAAGACGAGAAAGAATGGGGCAGCTCTGAGGCTTCTTCTATGCCAAGATTGATGTTGGTAGCATTTAACGGTAGGTTTTCAAGTTTCAAAGAAGCTTCCCCTTGCTCGGTCAACGAAGGAGGGGTGTCTCCTCACCCGCCGGATTCCTGCCCTCTTCACCATCATCCTCGCTGCCAACGACATCTGACAGCCAGTGCTTGAAATGCTCGCGGATCTGGGCGTCTCTGTAGATCCAGGCAATACAAACACCTGCACCAGGACCCAGTGGGAGGGCTGCAAGAACTGCCACTAGCGGAACCTTCCAGCCGGTCTCAACAAGAAGCCAGTAGAGGACGGTCAAGCCGATGTAAAACGCGTCGATCTGAACAAACTTGATGGTGGAACGAGTCATATCCTTTCTGTCGTCCCACTGGAAGAGGCTCCAGATAAGGTACACGTGGGAAACGGCGGAGCACAGGATGGGGACGATGTAGACAAGCAGAACCGAGACTGCGTGAGACTCGAGGTGGAAAGTGCGGTGCTGGCGCTTCTGCAGCCTCAAGACGACCCAGCGGACGGCCTGGCGGATGAGAGATACCCAGACAGGGAAGACGAGCCAGAGGGCAATGGTGACAGGAGAGTTGTAGATCAGCATGAGGACGGACGGCAAGACAAAGCCCCATGCAACGCTGACGGGAATGGCGACAGTCTCGGCGTCGACAGCGAGATGGCGAGACTTCTTGCCAAAGTCGGGGTCCTTGGAGGGGGCGCTCTTGACGACATCCTGACCGGCCTTTTTCCTGGCGAGCAGGATGGAGCGCGAGCGGTGGAAGAAGGCCGGGATAACGACGAGCTGCCACACAACGGCGCCGCCAATGAGGTTGAAGACCAGCCAGGGGCCGGTTGGGTTGGCGATGAGCACGTTGGGGGCGTTGCAGACGCGGGCGGCCTCGACGGTGGTGACGGTCATGAGGCCGGCGATGAAGGACAGGATGGCGGCCATGCTGGCGAAGGTGCGGACGGAGTCGAGGGCTGTCTGAAAGAAAGAGACGGCGAAGCAGGCAGGCGGGCCGAGAACGGGGACCCTACTGATGGCCGGGAGTCGGGCGCGCGAGTGGCATTGCGAGTAGAGGAGGGCGACGTTCACGTCCGAGTGGATGAAGAGGGACGCGAAGGTCGCGACGGCGAGGATGACGGGAATCACGAGAAGGGCGCGGTAGGATAAGACGTGGATGGGCGCCGGCCAGCGCTTCGGGGGCGTCATGGTTCTGAGCCTCCCTCGGAACAGATGGTGATGTTGGGGTCTATGTCGCGTCGCACAAGACCGGTGTTGATGTAGGTGCGCAAGGATCGTGACGCTGCTGTATTACTGTGTGGTGACCATTCATTCGCCAGCTGAGGAATGCATGGAACGGAGAAGAGCAGGCCCGCTGCAAATATTATGTCAGCTTCCAGTAAGGGTACTAGAGATACTACCTTGGACTTAATTGGTGTGTGTACATAGCCGTGCATCAAGCACGATTATCATAAGATTCGGCGACACGTGCGCTATTATCAGTATCAGCTGACCTACTTCCTCTCTCCAATTCGGCTGGTGTGACTAGATATACGCCGTTCAACAGACTAATGGTTCCGAAGGCTGGCTGGGGATGTACACGGCTGAATGCAACAACCGTAGCGACAATTGCGTACGCAGCCCGATTTTGTTATTCATTCGCATACTTGTACTGTTGTAGACGTCCTCTTACGTCGACTGTACTACAGGCCTTTACACCAGAAGAATGAACGAGAGTAAGAATCGCAAATCTCCCGACTACACTCACAGATAAAGTTATCTCCGTAACTACGCCCATAGAATAGTAATTGAATTTATCTCAATCGGTACGTATACACAACATGTCTACATACCTCCGACTACATAGGCAACAGCCCCAACCAAATCGACATATTCCGCTTAGCCCAACAGAGCAATTCTTATTAATATCTACAAATCACCACCACCATGATTACTTTTCCAGCGAAGCCATGATCGCTGGCAAGACTTCATATTCTGTAAAGTCCCAGATCGTGCTGGAGCTCCCGGAGCTCCACGAGTGACCTGTCCAAAACGTGTTTCTTTGACTCTGAAGCGCCGTGTAGCGCTTGTAGAACCCGGAACGAATAGCGTCCGTGGACACAGTCAGACCAAAAGGCGAGTGGTTGTTGAATGCCATGATTTCCGGCATGATATCGTCAGGCCGGCCCAGCGCACGTCGAGCTTCGTGTACCTGTGCCAGAATTGTCGCTTTGACTGTTTCCTCTGACTGATAATCGGGACTGGTGTATTGTGTGGACCAGAGGTCTGAGACAGTCTCGGCCGTGAAGTAGTAGACACCCGGCATGGCGGGGATACCGTACTGGGACTCCAAGTCATAACTATATACCGATGTCCCGGCGGGAAAACCTGAGCGAGAGATGACGGCGTTGTAGTAATAACTGTTGTTCAGCTGACCAAATACCTGGCTCTCTTCGTCGCTGAGATCGAGGAAGGGCTTGAGGTTATCCAGAGTTGGGGGAATGGTAATGAGTAGTTTGGAAGCGTGAACGGTTTTGGGGCCAGAAGGCGTTGTGATCGAGACGGTGACGCAGTCGTCTTGGCGGTCGATACGGCTGATTTCTGCCCAAGTGACAGCGCTATCGCCGAGGAATGCCTGAGCCGCGTTCCAAAGTGACTGGAGATCGTCGTTCGCCTCGTAGACCTTTGAATTCTCCTCGCGGGCCCGGACTTGCATTGGGTTGAACAGCTTCATGACGTAAAGAGTGGGCTGGGCAAGAACATTGCCCATGCCTTGAAACCGCAGCCATCCATCGTACGCGAGTGCGCCGAGGTCATACTTTTGGACAAAGTCGCCCCAGGGGAGGAGCAGGTCCTCCGGTACAGGGTCAGGCAGATGGTATCCGCGGAAGAAGTCGTCGGGGTACTTGGCCAGCTGTACTTTGTATCGCTCGAGAGCAGCCGCGGTGTCGTTGGCGTTGACGATTGGCCAAGAAGGCCCGGGCCGCTCGCGGGCCATGTCTACGGCCACGGATTGCCTCTTTGGTGCGAATGGCGCCAGGGGCACGCCCAGTCTGCGGAAATAGTTGTACACCTCTGTAGTGTTGACGAAGTTCTGAGTGCCGTAGTCAAAAGTCATGCCGGTCTTGGCATCAACATATGTATTCGTATGTCCGCCCAGTCGCCCGGCTTTTTCGATGAGGGCCACACTCTTGCCCAGCTGTTGCAGCCTGACAGCAGCATAGGTTCCGCTGGAGCCACCCCCAATAACAGCGACGTCGCGTTTGAGGATCTCCGGGGCCGCTTCATCGTTCCCTGAAGCGGCTTGGAGTAGAAAGAACCCCATCACGAGTTTTCCGAGTCGCGTCATGCTGAGATGAAGTGTGGTGGGCACCAATAAAAGAAATCTAATGGTATGAACTCAATGCTGAAGAAGCTGTCGGTTGGTAAAAGAATTGACCTCGAAGCGACGGCTGCCTCTTTTGACTGTGAACCTTAGCAAACGAACCTGTTGAAAGGGTGGCGTGGAGCTGTAATACACCAGCAAAGTTGTGTAATGATGGTATACTCCGTACATAGAATATGACGAGTCTAATAAATAGAAGGTGCAGCTTTGTCGGTCTGGTATAGTCGACCGACAGAGACGGTTTTACTTGCGTAAATTATTTGACTTTAAGTTAGAGTTAATTTGATTAATTGCTTGGCGAGGTAATGATGGCATGTGACCCAGTGGATAGTCGGCTGAGAATTGTACCAATGATTCGAATAGTAATTTGTCGTAGTGTATCCATACGGTATAAGGCGCTAATTGCTGCTTGCGATTAACGGCGTCGTTTTTGCGACATAATTACAGTAATTAGATGTGGTAGCCCACAAGTAACAATAGGTCATACCTAGTACCAATTGATCAGCTCCGTTCCCAACCCCATACTCAATGCGGATCTGGGAGGAAGCATTTTCCGTGGATGACTATATGGTTAAAGTAGTGAGCTCGTGTATCTATATGGTTGTGTACCAGGCTGGCTCATTCTCACTCTGTCAACACGCACCCGAAGTTAGCCTCGGGCTATTCAGAGCATCACTAGTTTCCCTTGTGGCATTACTTCACCAAAGGGTCAACAATCCCCAACTGGCCCAACGGGGCAAACCATGTGCCTACCGTTAGCACAGCCAATCCTCCCGCCTTTGCTACAAAACATTGGACTAGCCGAGCAAATCCTTCCTGAAAGCCCTCGCGTTCAAGACTTCCAGTCTCGAGGAATCTTAACTTGACATTGTGATCTTTACTAATGAAACAACAATATTGAGACCCAGAGCCATTTTTGCCAGGTTTCTCAAATCCCAACCTTCTTAGTGCTTGTACCAAATTCAACCAGCAAGCTGATGAAAAATAACAAGATGACAAGATTACCCCACTAGTTATGCGTCGTTGCGTTTCCTTTATATTCAGGAAATCAATAAGTGTAATATAGTCTCCCAGTGAATGGCCGTCCATTCCAAAGACATCAGAATGGCAAAAAAACAACTCATATGATCCATTATTAGATCGTCCTATGCACATTTTGCAAAATAATAATAATGAAAACATCGAACACTGTTCATCCTTGGTACAATATTAGAGCTTGAACTGGTTCTCTAATGCTCACTCTAGGGCCTCGAATCTGGCGAATCATTTGTGGGACAGCATCTGCATGCAGTAATTCGTGAATACTCGAAGACAGCTACAATATGGTTTATTAACATGTAACCTTCGATACCTTGGCCGCATGCCCGCCCAGAACCTGAGACTTCTTATCACCTACCACATTCGAGCAAAGCCAAGGCTGCCAAGACCAGTCATCGGTGTTCTCGTCCTACACCGTCCAGAAATCCAAACTATCATTACCTATCCCGGGCAACCAGCCAAGATGTGGAGTTTCAACCCTCCTTCCCGCGAGTCGTTCCAAGTTCTACAGTACCTACACAAGTCTTCTGCCTTCACAATCCTCTAGCAAAAGTGTGACATTCACGGCCGCTGGCTGTAGACATGGAAACCTGTGTTCTTTTCCCGGCCAAATTGCCGTTAATTGCGGCATGAACGATTGCTCCGTTACTTGATCTCCTCCCCGCCAAGCCGGGAAGCTGTTGGCTAATGGATCTTTCTGCGTTACCCTCTGTACAACGCTGTCTTGTCTCAACCAACCATGATGGAGTTCCCATTCTGCTCATCGTTATCTCTCGGCGATGGCTCGCTTCGCGGTCGCCAAGGAAGAAATGTAACCATCACCGCACGAGGAGCGCCTTGAGCTGTTCCATTGCGCGCCTATCACCGACTGGCAATCGCAGACAGCCTCTGCAGCGCCGATAGGATGCGCCCGCGGGAAGCTACAAAAGTGCTCAACCGGCCCCGCCAGCTCTCGCGGTGGCTGTCTCCCAAGCTCTGCCCAGCGGCTGCGACTTGCTCTCAAGCCTTTTATTCCCCCCCTTTCGTCCCTCTTGAACAAGCTCAAGCCGAGAAGCGACGAGAGTTCTTAGACCACAAAACGTCACGATATGTCAACGGCCCCGAACCTAGACGTGGTGGAAGCCGCGCGGGCAGACTGCCCGGCCATTGAGAAGGGCGTTGACGCCGCGAGGAAGCCGGATGCGTACACGGGGGACCTTGCCGACGGACGGCTATCCCACGACACCCTCGGCGGGCTCAACGGCGAGGTCTACCCGACCGAGGAGGAGCTTCTCACGCTGCGCCGCGTTCACGGCAAGGTGGACTGGCTAATTTACAGCATCGGCTTTGTCGAAATGTGCGAGCGCTTCGCGTACTATGGCACAACGGCCGTGTGTAAGTGGCGGAATAGCCCTATCACAACATCGTGCGGGAGTATGGGACTACCTACTGACTCCTCGTGTTCTAACAAAGTTGTCAACTTTATCGCGTATCCCCTCCCGCCGGGCTCGACGACCGGCGCCGGAGGCACACATGAGCAAGCTGGCGCCTTGGGTCTCGGCCAGCGCGCCTCAACCGCCCTGACCCTCTTCAACTCCTTCTGGTCCTATGTGATGCCACTCGTCGGTAAGCACCTCGCCAACACTCCCCGGGCCCTCAACGCCAAGTCGGAACTCTCATCTGACTCCTTTCCCAGGCGGCTACATCGCTGACACGTACTGGGGGCGTTACCTCACGATTCAATGGGCCATTGCCATCGCCACTTTGGGCCACATCTTCATCATCATCGCCGCCGTCCCCTCCGTCATCGCCAACCCGAGCGGCTCGCTGGCAGCCTTCATCATCGGCCTCGTCTTCTTCGGAACCGGCGTTGGGTTTTTCAAAGCCAATATCTCGCCCCTCATCGCCGAGCAGTATGAGCTTACGCAGCCCCGGCAAACGGTCGAGACGCTCCCCAAGACGGGCGAGCGCGTCATCGTCGACCCCGTCATGACCATCTCGCGCGTCTATATGCGCTACTACTTCCTCATCAACGTCGGCGCTCTTGTCGGCCAAATCTCCATGGTCTACGCCGAAAAGTACGTCGGCTTCTGGCTCTCATACCTCCTCCCGACCATCATGTTCTTCTTCTGTCCCATCGTCATGTTCGCCTGCCGCAACCGCTACGCCAAGCGCCCGCCCACTGGTTCCGTCCTCGGCAAGTCCATCGCCCTCATTGGCTACGGCCTTCGGCAGGGCGGCGGTGGCGGCATCACAGGGATGCGCAAGGACGCATTCTGGGAGCGCATCAAGCCCTCGCGGGTCGCCGACAAGCCGGCGTGGATGACGTTCGACGACGCCTGGGTCGATGAGGTCCGCCGCGGCGTCATGGCCTGCGCCGTCTTCCTCTGGTTCCCTATCTTCTGGCTCGCGTACGGCCAGATGACCAACAACCTCATCAACCAGGCGGCGACGATGCGGCTCGACGGTATCCCCAACGACATCATCACCAACCTCAATCCCTTTGCGCTGCTCATCTTCATCCCAATCTGCGACAAGTTCATCTACCCGGCCGTCGAGCGCGCGGGGCTCCGCTTCACCCCGCTCAAGAAGATCACGCTCGGCTTCTTCTGCGCGACGCTGTCCATGATGGTCGCCGCCATCATCCAGCACTTCATTTACCAGCAGGCGCCGTGCGGGTACAGCGCCGGCGACACGGACTGCATCCGCGAGAACGGCCCGCCCGAGATGACCGTGTGGATCCAGACGCCGTGCTACATCCTCATCGCGCTGAGCGAGATCTTCGCGTCCATCACGGGGCTTGAGTACGCCTTCACCAAGGCGCCCAAGAACATGCGCGGGCTCGTCACCGGCGTCTTCCTCTTCGTCCACGCCTTCTCGAGCGCCATCGGCCAGGCGTTTGTGGGCCTGGCGGCCGACCCGTTGCTCGTGTGGCTGTACACCTGTATCGCCATCATCAGCTGCCTGGGTGGCATCGGCTTCTGGATCATGTTCCGCAAGCTTGACAAGGAGGAAGACGCGCTGAATGCGCTGCCGGAGAGCACATACAAGGGACGAGGGGAGTTGGAACCTGAAAGCAAGGCAGTCTAAGTGTCTTAAGGCCGAAGCTACAGTGTCGGCGAGGCACATGGTGATTGTGTATATAACAGTTCATAGTCAATGTGTTATATGCGTTGGGGCAATGACAATCGTCAAGCGGCTGCACCCATTGAAGAAACACTCCCAGAAAAGCCTTGATCCGAGTTGACACATATGATCATTAGTCACAAGTAACGCACGTTGAAGTACGGAAAATTGAAAAAAAAAAGGTCAGTTAAAAGACCTGCGCGACCTGATCAGTTTGAGTTGCATTGCGCCTTGTACACCCACTTCGGGGCAGCCTTCACCCATCCCTCGTAAACCCTCGCGTGGGGAATCAAACCCAGCCCATCCGTTATTTACCCTGGTATTCCCAATCCAACGCCTTGCTACTGCCACGGCTCCTCGGCTTGATATCACCATAGCTTTCAAATTCATGTGTTACGTTTTCTTGCGGACCAACCCAGCGCCGAGCACGTTGACCTTCGGGGGTTCACCGTTGTTCGCCTTGGTCGCGTCGACACTCGGGGTCGCTTCTTTGGACTTCCTTCGGATGAGCCCCGTGCTCAGGACATTAACCTTGCTCGCCGGCTCACCCGACCCAATAGCAGGCGACTCTTCTGGGCGTTTGCGCTTGACCAGACCTGGTAGATTATTCACGGCCCCAGCTGACGGCTGGCTTGGCGAAGGGACCGGGGTCTCCCGTGTGCCTACAACCTCCAAGCCCCATGAGTCTCCAATGCCGACTTCGCTGATCCATCGCCTGGTGCTACTGGTGGCAATATCAAGGTTTGCAAAGTCCAAGTGCAGCAGAAGCTCATTGACCCGCTTGTAATCGTTTTCGTCGACAATCTTGCGACCTCTGCCTTCTGCCGGCCAATAATAGTAAGCGGTGGAAATGGGCTTATCTAGCAGATAGTTGCGCTGTTGGGTCTTGATGCGCGGTTGCCGAGGCTTGATGACACCCGATAATTTCGCCTTCTTGTTCTTCTTGTTGTTCTTTCGCTCGTGCTTTTCCAGCTTCGCCTTCGATAATGTACCAGGCGATGTTGGAGGGAACAGCTTGCGTGGCGTAGACATGGGCGTCGTCAGCCGGGCAGATTTCTGTTTGTTCGGTGTCACTGGAGGGTTGGAAGCACTAAATGAAGGGTTCTGTGTCGGCAAGGCCGTCGTGGCATTGTCCTGGCAGACCTTTTCCACCTCCGGGTCAAATACGACCCATATGAAACCAGTCAGACGCCCACTGGAACACTCCTGTCTGTACGCCATCATCTCCCAGAAGGTCTCCAAGCTCTTGACGCTCTTCCATTGGCCCGTGGTCTTGAGCTGCTTTGACTTTCCAGTCTCCTCGTCCAATTCGTCTCGGAATCGCGACTTGGGGTCGTCTGGAAAGCGGGGAATAAGGCATCGCGCGGGCACCCAGTCGTACTCCTTGGTATAATGCGAAATCTTCTCGAGGGCGTGTCCCAGCACCCAATTGGCGGCGCTGCTGGGGGTCTTTGGCAAAAAAGCCTTCGTCTCGTAGCTGTCGAGCCCGGGGATCACGAGATATCCTTTGACGCCACCCCATGGTGCACCCTTGCCCACGGGGGTGTTGTTCTCCAGGAGGGGGTCCAGAACCTTGCACCACCATTTGACGAGTCCTCTGTCGTCGAGAACATGCTTGCCGCTGTACTCGACGCTGCCGGGAAAGAGGTATTGATCTTGAGCACGGGCGAAGAGGCTGACGACGGATTGGATGCCCTTGCGACTGCGCTGCTCGACGAGATAGGAGACGAAAACACTGCTGATTTCTTTAATGGGCGAAGGGGTGCCCTTGGGCAGGTTGAGCAGCTTCAGGTAGCCGGTCGAATCGGCTTTTGAGACAAAAAAAGTGCTGGAGTGTGCCGTCGTGTAGATGAAGACCTCCAAGGCGAGGACGAGGACCGGCTTCGAGGCGTCGTCTTTCGTCGGCTTGTCGGTCTGGGCGGTGCTGGCGGGAACATCGATGGAGATGGCGAGGAAATGCCTCTCGCAGTACGTCTTGTCTTCGCGTTCCTCCGGCGGCGCCGAATAGAGAGCGTCGGTCTTGGTGGGCGGAGTCGAGAGGTGGTAGACGCCGAAGCGGTAGCCCCTGGGCAGGACGGCCGACAGCTTCTCGAGAAGAAGGGCGCTGCTCTGAGCCGTGGTCTTCACCCTGCTAGGAGTCGCCATGATGTGATTAATTGCGAGAAATGCTTGGGGGAATATGGACTCCCAGGGCAAAGGTCATGTCATGGCTGTGGGATCGTGCATCGGCATCAGCAGCGGCAGCAGCAGTGGCTGGTCTGCAGGGTCCAAAAGAAGCCGACGCGTCGCAGGAGGTGATGGGCGCGAGTCTTTCAGAAGCGTGACGCCGTTTCAGTGGGGAAAACGCGATATGGATCCCTCTTCAGTTAAAGGGAAGCAGCGACTTGTCTGGGGCCTCCCGGAAGCTACGAGCTGGAGCTAGTACCGTCTTGGGACTAGCGCCGGCTCTCGCATGATCATCCCTCCGCCCGCCAGCGCGCTTCCACGTGACCTCGAGAAATTGTTCCGTGCAGCGATCGCGAAAAAGTTCCAGCTCAAGCAAAGCAATCAGGAAGCTCTAGCTAGCTACGACGAGAGTACTTACTTACGCCTTCATTAATTCTCACCCTCTTCCAACACACCGCCGTCCCTCTGTTGCCAGCAACAGACAAAGATGGCAACCAACGGCTCCCGGTCAGCCTACGGCCTCACGAGGCATGCCGTCCGGCATTGCCAGTCGGCTGCAACCCCCCGAGTCGCTTCTTCTATCCAGTGCATCTCCAGAACGTTTGCGACGACCGGTCCCCGGACGGCTACCGAGAGCAAGATTGACCAACTGTCGAGGAAAACTGAGGAGGCGGAAAGACCCGACGAAGTCTCGCAGCGCCCGCGATGGTCCTACACCCCCGAGGGCATGAAGGCCCCCTTCTCTCCTCACATCACCAAGAACCCGGCGCGCAGCGTCTGGTCTGTCAACACGGACCCCAAGAAGCTGGACCAGATGTACGTCAGGTTTCTGGGTCGCGACGGAGATAAGATGCTGCCGGACGAGGTCAAGTGGTTGGCCGTTACGCACAAGAGTTTCGACCAGGGCCGCCGGGGTTTCAACGACAAGCTGGCATATCTGGGTAAGGCTTTCTCTCCCGCTTTCGGGATTGACTTGCGACTTGGCGTCTGCGTCGCCCGCCCCAAAGCTACTTTCAGCTAACTGAGAGGGCTTTTCCATGTGCTACAGGTCGACAAGCAGTTGTTCTCGAGTCCACGCGAAGCATAGTAACGTCGTCGCTGGCAAAGGACGGGGCCATGGTCCCTGATGAGCACGGTCGCGCACCGTTCGAGCACCCCGCTCTTGCAAGCCTCGACAATCTCAACGTTGAGCTGCCGCAGAAGGTCGTCACCAAGGAAAGGATTGAGGAGCTGGCGATGGCCGCTGGCATCGACAAGGTTTTGCGGTGGAAACCGGCAAAGGTAAGCCTAACTCTTAGCCCCCCCCTCCTCCTCCTCCTTGCGGAAGGAGCGAGAATAGCCCGCCCTGGCTAAGCGCATACGACAGCCGGAAAACCTTGCTGGGTCTGGCCAGCAGATCGTGCTCAACTCGGCCGTGTTCGCCATTGTGGGAGCCATCACTCTCCAGCACGGAGCCGAGGTGGCAGGCAGAGTCATCAGGGAGAGAATATTGAGACCGCTCTCGCTCAGGCAATGACACCAACGAACATAACACAAAGAGAGACGTCTGTTGTATCATAGGTGTAAAACATTTGACAGGAAGGGCAATCATCCCAACAGGAACGCCTGGAGGCAGCCCAAAGCTTTTTTGCCCAATACCACTACGTGACGCCGTGCTGCCACCGGGTTGCTGACGCCACCTTGTAGCAGACGGCCCAAACGGGTATGTAGAAATCATGCCCCAAAGTGATGAGATGAGAACAACGTTTGCCAGGCGCTTGCCGCCATTCACTCTGGCGGCAGCGGCCGCAGCAGGCCCGTTGTCAGGTGCATCACATGGGAGATGCTGCGGTCAGGGGGCTGCCAGGCCAGCCTGATGACCCATCCGTCGGTGGTCGAGCAGAGGTCGCGGACAAGGGACTTGTCGATGCGGGTCGTCATCTCGACCGTGACGAGGTTGTTCACGACGGCGTCGTCGACGCCCTTGCCGAGGATCAGCGCCTTGCGGATCATGCTGTTGTTGGGCGTGCGCACGACCAGCCGTGAGGCGCGCGTCCAGTCGACGACGTGCAGGCCGAAGTCGAGCATGCCAGCGCGGCCAACCTCGCCCGTCACGGCGTGTACGTAGCCCTCACCGAGCGGGCGGGTCATGTCCGAGGTGGAGCGGGTACAGAGGAAGAAGCTTTTGAGCATGGCAAATGATTCATTCAGGGTGGCCATGCCAAAGCCGGGGTCCGGGTCAACGTGCCAGATGCTCTTTGGCCAGTCGTTGGAGCCGTAGTGGGCGACGCCCTCGCCCAAGGGGTCGTAGGCAAGCAGGTCGCTGGCAAGGATGGGCATTGTTAGCGATCGGGAGGCGCCTTGGTACAGGACAAGGTCCCAATCGGGATTAATATAGATGCGGTCCCACGCCGGGTTTCGCTGGCTCCGTTGCGGGTAGCCGTGGGCGTCGGACTCGGGCGAGGCCATGGGTAGATGGATCCTGAAGAAGGACAGAGCCTCGCGACGGGCTTCAGCGCAGACTCGAAAAATGGCCGGGCTCCTATTCTCGCAGTACCAGTGGGCGTTGCAGGCAACGTTGCCAAGCTCATTGCCAGAAGACTCGACTCCCGAGGTGTCCATGACACCCCTGATGACGACGACGCGGGGCTGCTCCAGATGGATGAGCCAGATCTTGGAACGCAGCTCGTAGGGCAGGTCTGGGAAGCGGCCAAAGACGTCGGCTCGACCAGACTCGGGCGGTGGCGACAAGGGCGGCAGTGGTGGCGGTGTCAATGCCGTCGTCTTCGGGGGGTCGCTTGCGGGCGCGGCAACCCAAGTGCGCAAGTCGAAACCTTCGCAGGCTTCCAGGAGCTTCCAGTGATTCGTGGGCGGTTGTTGTTCCCGTGTAGCGGAGCGGACATGGGTGTCGGTAGTCCGGAACCCCCCTCCATGAGGGTTTCTGGCCTCCACCACGTTGGCGTCATAGTCGTCTCGCGCTTGTGAACAAGAGGCGGGCTGGGCCGGCGGCGAGAACAAGTCTATCGGTTGAAGGGGCAGCAGAGAAGGAAAGGGGCTCGGTGAGCGGCTGGCTTCATCAGACTCGTAAACCGAGTCCATTACGAGGGTACTTTAGGTTTTTGGCAAGTTCAGGGATTGGGCGAGCGAAGAATTCGGACGAGATAGTACAAGGGACTCTAGTTGGACGACGAGACGAATGAAGACGTTGGGAGAGTGTTCAATGATGCCGAGCAAATGTGGTGATGGGGTGATCAATCCTCTGTGCGCGAAGAACGGGAGCATATGGGCGACGCTAAGATGCGTGCGTAATGCGATGTAATGAGATGTCTCTCGGGTAAGGCGTGTAATAGCAAGGCTGAGAGAGAGAGAGGGTGTGTGTGTGTGTGTGTGTGTGTGTTTTGTGACTTGTGAAGCTAGTGTGGGGTGATGAGGCGGAGGTTGTAGCGGGGAACAAGGGACGACGTGTTTGAGAATCGGGGGACACTCCACGAACCAAACGCGCCATGTGCTTTGGATTCCAAATACGAACCCGAGCACGATGAGGTAGGTGGTTAATCGTTCGGTCCCCTGAATGAGTCGCGCGCTTGGCCAACGAGGATGATGGGAGTTGAGAGCGAAATGCGGCGCACGTTGGGACGACGTTTTACGTGGATCCAGGCAGGAATCGTGATGCTCTGCGGCTCACCCTTCTAGGTACCCACACTACTCCGTACTCTGTGATTGATTACTAAGATAATGTACCAAGGTACATGGGAATGAAGGGATCCTTGCCGGTGTCACTACGTACCTACTACTATAGCCCCATACCTATATGAAGTTCTGCCCCACCCACACTTCTACCAAGCTAGACTAGGACTTACCGATCCGTATTCGGCTTCACCACATTACAGACATGATACAACACAGAAGAAGAAACAACGAGACCCTTTTACAGGGCGTTGCCTCTTGAGGAAAAGCCTTGCGAGAGTCCAAAACGTATTGCACCGGTAGTAGGTATATCTATGCGTTCACGTATAATCACTTGTCTCGTAAGAGACGCCCGCACGACTCTGTAACAAGAACGGCACCCACGAGTGGAGGGACCGATGCCACATGGTGTTTGGCAACTTAAAGAGACAGAGATATAGACAATATGTGTGTGTGTGCGCGTGTGCGTGTGTTCAAGAGATAGAGAGAGAGAGAGAGAGGGTAGCGCACAGCATCCCTGTCAGATCGTGTCAAATACCCGTCAACCCATAATAGACTCGGCACATACTTTCTAACCAGGTAGCTTAAACTGCGCACTTTCACTACCTACATAGACCGCATGATAATTATACGAACAAGGTCAATTACGGCTTGTGTATCCGTAGTCCACCCCCATTGTCATTGCCGCTGCGGGAGAGCGTTGATGTGTGGCATGGAGCCCCTGTCCTGGTTTCCCGTTATATTCTTGGCTTTACTACGGAGTAGTATGATTTGCATGTAGGAACTTTAGGATTCATCTGTAGAGTGGCATTGCTTTGCTTACCTACCCTGAGCCAGTAACCAGCTGCCCCCCCCCGACATTCCAATAAACAGCCTTAATCATTGCCTCACCAGCCAAGAACAGTACGCTACCGTGCGAGATTTGCAAAGGGGACCGGGCTGTGGGCCAATCACCGAGTCGTCTCTGCAACGTCACTTCGCCGTCTGAAACTCGCACAACCCAAGCCCTGACGCTGACAACCTGCACTCTCAACGCCTTCCGTGGATCGATGGCTTGATGAACGGAACTGTACTCAACTCTCGGGGGGATACCCGGCCTTTTTTGCCCACGGATCACGGCTCACCCTATATAGCATCGTGATGCATAAATTACCCTATTAGGGTTACACGCCGTGCACCCGAATCCCAATGTCACTTACTCGCACCACGACAGAGACCAGCTGAACTCCTGCTCCATCTTCATGCCATCGTCGGTGCTCCTCTTGACGCGGCCTTGTGCCATCAATCAACCACCCAAGGAACCCTGCCATGCCATATTGACAGGAAACAGGGTCTCGGCGTCAAACTCTTGTAAACTGATCTGGCTTCTGCTGTCGGTGACGGAGTATGCCCGCTTGACCTTGTCTGAGGTCGGCTGCCGCCGTAGAGACCGGGTTTCTTCTTCCCAACTCGGTGAATCGAGCCCCCCCCCCCCCCTCCCCCGGCAGGTTTTGTCGGAGATTTTCGCAAGGGACCTCCCTCTCTCACCTAGGCTTCAATCTCAGTCAGTCCATCCGGGGTGGACCCAACTGGGATCGATGCCAGCTGCCAGGTGGAGCGGGATCCCGCCGCGAGTGGCCGCCTGTCTACTGACGACTTAGATCGCTCGCTCCATGTTTAGGCTCGTGATCGTTAGATTGTAAGGGCCTTGCTATAGATATGTCCCCGTTCGTCTCTCCATGTTTCTTTGGGCCTGTTTTGTTTCCCTCCACCGTTTGGCAATTCAAACACCCAGCCCGCCTTAAGAGGAATATAATAGCACCCTTCTCCTTTGTCTTTCACAACTGCTGGGCAGCCTTTGCTTTGACGTTTTCTTCTTCTATTCCTTCTTCTTCCTCCATCTCTTCCTCTTCATAGATCCCCATGTTATACGACCCATCTAATGTCACTGTCAACACTGTAAAGCTTAACCAATAGCCTATTCCCCCTGATAACATCATGGAGATGATGGACATGTACAACAAAATATCGCCACAAGAAGAGAACCCTACGCGGACGTTACAGCCACCACCGCCAGCTCCTCCACAGAGACAGAGCGCTTGGATGAACTTCTGCGTAGGGTTCTTGATGGTATTTTCTATCTTCAGCATCGGCAGGGAAATCAAGCAACAATTTGATCACAGGCCCAGCCTGAGTAACCAGGTAGCCGTGAATCGGGATTTGGAATCATGGAGCCAGGCTCTCGACTCCATCGTTGCACCCGAAACTGCCGAGGCTATCGGAAATGATGCCAGGCTGAAGCGGACCCTCATGTCCATGGTCGAGTTCACTGTTGATCTCTCCGACCAGCTGGCTGCTCGCTACGAATCACCCCGGCTTCAGGAGACGAAGGAGGCATTACAGGAGTACAAGAAAATAATTGAGAGAAGCCTTGGGGACCTGGAGGGCGACGATGCTAAGAGCGGCAGCGGAACGGAGCCTGAGAAACGCCAGCTTCCGGGCTTGGGCGGCCTCTTTGGTGGCATAGGTGGCGGAGGTGGCGGTGGAGGAAACATGTCTGCCGGCATCCTCAGCGGCCTTCTCCAGCCCCTGACCGACGGCCTCAAGAACATCGGAAGCCAGCTGGTCCGCAATCTCGACGGACCAGGCATGTTCCTGGGCATAGGGATCGGCGCCGGCGCCGCCCAAGGGCTAAACCTGTCGACGGAGGCCAAGACCATGGAGGTGGCGGCCAAGGTGGCAGCAGACAACAAGATGGAGGCGACCGGCCTGAACCCCGCGATCCAGAACCTGGGCGTTGGTCTCACAGCGACCATCCTGGGATCCGTAGACCTGTCCAGCCTATCCGGCGTGGGAGGGAACTTGACACTGCAGCTCCAGCCCATCGCCCTCTCCCTCGCAACGGGCATCGGGAACGGCACGGTGGCCGGCCTCAAGCTCAACCCCAACGCCGCGAATCTCGAGCCCGTCAACGACTCTAGCCTCCCCAACGTCCTCGGAACCTTTGGTTTTGGGCTCACCAAGACGCTGACCTCCAACATAGACACGTCCAATCTCTTGAGCAAGGCCAACAACCCCGGCCTCACGCGCCGGCTCATGGAGATCCTCCCCGCCGCCGCCTCGGGTCTCGGTAATGGTTTGGGCGAGGGCGCAACGGTCGGTCTCGGCCTGCAGCCCGACGAGGCGGTGGTCATGAAGCAGATGCCAGACGGCTCCATCGACTTTGGCGGCATCACGCAGACCTTCGCCAAGGCCTTGACAAATAGTCTCTTGCGGAACGGCACCGCGAACGAGCTTCTCAAAAAGGTCAACTTGAGCGGCAGCGACACGTCACGCCGCATCATGGAGATCCTCCCCGCCGCCGCCTCGGGTCTCGGCAAGGGCCTGGGTGAGGGAGCAACGGTCGGTCTCGGCCTGCAGCCCGACGAGGCGGTGGTCATGAAGCAGATGCCAGACGGCTCCATCGACTTTGGCGGCATCACGCAGACCTTTGCCAAGGCCCTGACGAGCAGCTTCCTGCAGAACGGCACCGCGAACGAGCTCGTCAACAAGGTCGGCAGCGCCGCCAAGTCAGCCGTGAACGGCGGTGGGATCCCAAAGACCATCGACATCAACGGCCAGACGGTCGAGATCAGCAAGGCTGCCCAGGGCTTCGCCCGCGGCTTCCTCCAGGCCGCCGGCGACTCCATCCAGAGCATGGGTGGCGTGCAGTCCCTCTTCGAGGGCAACGCCACGATCCCCACGGGCCCGCCGCCGGACTCCAAGATCGACTTCGACGACACCATCGGCGGCGCCGCCACCGGATTCGGTTCCGGGATCGGCGGGCAGGGTGTCGTCGTTGTCTACGGCCTGATCAAGTACCCGCACGGCACGAACGCGACCGCCGCAGGCGCCGCCCCAGCACTTCTGGCCACGAGCGCGCCCGCTGCCCGCCGTGACTTGGAGCTCGTCGGCCGCCAGCGCCCCCCGCCCATCGTCTCCGTCGACACGAACAACGGGTTCAACCTCTCCGTCGTCATCAATGCCCAGACGGTCTCCGCGGCCGCCCAGGCCGGCGTCAACGCCCTCTCCTGCCAGGGCATCGGCGGGTTGGGACTCATCGGCCTCGGCCTGATCCGTAGCAAGACCATCGCCCTCGACATGATCAGCGGCGGCGGTGGTGGCAGAAATAGCAACATCACAAAGGTCATCAAGCAGGTCATCCCCACCGGCACCATCAAGATCGCCAACGAGGGCCACTTTTACGCCATCGACGGCGGTATTCTTCGTGATTCGCTGGACGGCAGCATCACCAACGCCGCGAACGCCATCGAGATTAACGGCGCTAAATTGCCGAGCTGGATCGCGTTCCTCGTCATTCACAGTAAGTTGAAAAACGCCCCCTTCCCCCTCCCGAAGATCCATTGGGAAACCCGGCTGACAGCTCACCTCTCCAGTTCTTTTCGCCATCGTAGCATACATCAACGTCCTTCCTCTGGCCATCGGTCTCGAGCATCTGAGGAGCCTCCTCCTCCGCGTCAATGTACCGCAAGCCCTGCCCAAAGTCCAAAAATGGAACAACATCATGTGGCTCTTCGTCATGGGCCCCTCGGTCCTGCTCGTTTTCCTCTTCGGCGCGCTCGTCACCGCCAAGTCTGCACACTTCCGTACCGCCCACGGTGTAAGTCGCTGACCGAGTCTATTCTTCGAAGCCCCTCCTCGATAGCTAACAAAGCCCATAACAGGTCATCAGCCTCATCGCAACACTCGTCGGCCTGGGTGCAGTCCTCCTCCACCTCGTAGTCAAGGCCCGCGCACCACCCGAACTCCCCAGATCTACCGGCTCTCCGCCGCCCCCGTTGCCCCTCACGAGCCTACCCAACATCCGCCTCATGGTGAACCAGCTCTTCCTTGCCCTTTCCTTCGCTTCCGTCATCACGGGCTTCGCGGGCCTGAGCTCTGTGGCGCTGTGCTTTACGCAGATCGTCCCCTTCGACCTCGCGCTTGTCATCGGCTTCGGCTTGTCAACGGTCTTTGTCTTGGGCTCCTCGATCTCGGGGCTCGACCTTGCGCTTACCGTGCGTGACATCATGAAGCGGAGAAAGGGCGGCACGGCTGGCTCCTCTGAAGCCGTTGAGAGGGGCGACGGTGGGTTGCAGGGCAAGATCTCGGCGCCCAAGATTGTGGAGAGCAACAAGGAGAAGGGCAATTTTTTGTAATGGGGTCTTGATAAGAGTCTACCGGCGTTTCGAGACTTGGAGCTGTGCTCAGTCCCGTATATAGATTTGGTAAGGGTTCGTAATGCATTCGGTCGGTGGGGTCGGAAATTGAAAGGTTTATAAGATACCTACGGAGATGAGGAGTACGGCATGGGATTGGCAAAATGCTACATGAAAGACGCATGTACCAGGGTCACGTATTGCATGACGAGGGAAGTAAATACGTTTGGGATTGTTTGGTGTTGAAGGAGCCACATCAGTGGCTTTCACGTTCATTATACCCCAGCTCGCTTCAGGAGGCGGGCTATGATTTTATCTCACATTAAATTTGACCAAGCTTAGTGCCTAGTGTAGTCTCTCTGTGATTGAACATTGGCTTTTCTCATGTGCTGTTATGTCAAACATGTATCGGCATTTGCCTCTCCTCATAAGCCGGCAATTAGCTATTTAAAACAAGAAGACTTCGAGTAAGCTAGTACTGGGGAAAAGACCACTTGCACCTTAGCCATGTATGCACAACATATAAATACACATATTCTATTCTTCCCATACGCATCATCACTCGTCATCCCACAGATGCCAGCTACTGCTCGGCCTTACGTCCAACACACACCGCCTCTTTCTCCGCTGTCCCACGACTTCTCTCCCGTTACTCAAGAAGAACTCTTCCGTCTCGCCGCCGGGGGCCTGCCTCACCATGCCCAGGCCTGCGAGGTCCGTCTTGGTGCACTTCATCTTCAGGTGCCGGAAGTACTTGCGGTAAAACATGCGCTGCATAACCAGCCGGTCGGCCACGCTCCGGGGCAGATAATCACCAAGCTGCGCGCGCAGGGCTTCCAGCGCGGCGCGCTGGTTCGCCGCGTCGGGGGGCTCGTAGTCGTTGCTCAGGAGGAGACGGGGCACATCCCGGTAGAAGGCGTCCTTGGCGGGGATCCCGCTCGTGAGGTAGCCCTCGTGGATCATCCACACGGGGAACCGTGCCGCCGCGCGGTCGTCCATCAGCTGGATCGCCTCCGTGTAAGACTCCAGGTTCGCCAGGCTCTCGGAGAGGGGCGCGCACCCCGGCACGGGGGTCAGGTCCCACGTCTCGGGCCCGCCGCGGTCGCGGGTGCCGAAGTGGCGGATTCCCACGCCCAGCGGGTCGAACGCGAGACAGTCGCTCAGGAAGATGTCGAGGGGGATCTCGCTGCTCCAGGGGAAGGTGAAGATGACGGTGTCGAAGTCCGGGTTGATGAGGGCGGGCCAGGCGATCTTGTTGGTCGGGTACATTGGCAGCTGCACGCGGTAGAACGCGCGCGTCTCGGCGCGGCACTCGCGATTCACCCACATCAGCGCCGGGAGGGTGTTGTCGGCGCTCCAGGCGATGTTGGACGCGAGGTTGCCCAGGGCGTTGGGCGCGAAGTGGATCTTTTTCAGGTCGTTCATGCATCGTATTTCGACGATGCGCGGCCGTTCCAGGTAGAAGCGGAGGATCTTGGACCGGAGCTCGGGTGGCAGGCGGGAAAAGGGCTGGAACGAGGCGAGGGGCCCGGCGACGTTTCTACCGCTGCCGCCGTCGATCGGCGGGGCGACGGGCGCTTCCGGGGAGGTGTCGACGGTCTGCACGGACGCCGGGGCCAAGGGCGGAGGGTGGGTAATCGTCCACGGGCCGTACGGGACGCCGGACCGGAACTGGAAGCGGTCTTCGGGCTTGACCGGGGTCGGTGGTCGGTGGAGGTCGATGTGGCGGCGCTGACCACAGGTGGGACACGGGGTGGATGACGCCGACGGGAAGTTCCCAAGGGAAGCGCCGACGCTGATACTGAGCGACGTGGAGGACGAAGATGAGAACGACTGGGGAATAGTGGTGGCGGTCTGGGCGGTTGTGGACACCACCGGCGAGTGTGAGGCGGATGTGGCCGACATGGTCGTCGAGGGGTCAGAATCTGTAAGAAGAGCAGCCTCTAGCTCACCCGTGCGTGCGTGCGTCTCTGTCCGTTGCCGCAGCGGGTGGTGACTGTGGCGCCGTGCTGTCACCGCGTTGCCAATGGTGGTTTGCGTGCCCCTCTCGATGCTGTCCTGCCCCGGGTCTTGCCTTTCTCCTCCTACTCTTCCTCCTGCAGGCGATGCGGACGCTGAGAACGGCGGGTCCTTGCGTGGACGGATGCGAACCGACAGGCTTCTTAGCCAAACATTTTTCCACTTCTTGGTAAGCTGTTGCTGCTGGTGCTGATTCTTGGGCCGGACATCAGAGGCTGCTGCCTTGCGGTTCGAGCCGGAAGCCATGACGAACTGGCTGAGTCGGGCGAGGAGCCCCGTCGGTCCTGTGGTGAGCTTGCTCGTTCTCCTCCTCCTGGTGATGGTGGTGGTGCTACTACTACTACTACTACTACTACTACTACTACTACTACTACTGCTACTTGCGCAACAGCGCGATACCAATGAACTGAAGCAATCTAGTTCACACCAGGCAGACAGGCAGACAGACAAGCAAGCTGATCCTATGATTCTCAATCACCCCTTCGGACTTGGGTGGGATGCATGCGGCGGATGCAGGAGCTGCTAGCGCGGTGGCTTGCTCGTGTCTTGGAGTTGCGGTGAGGTGAGCAGGAGTGATTTGAGCGATTGAGAGGGAGAATGGAGTAATGGAGGTTGGTCTATCCGTAGTCGATGATGATAATGATGGGGGGGGAGGCAATATGAATCGGGGCGAATGGGAGACGCGGGGGAGGAGAAGGTCTTGGTCAGGTTAAGGTTCATCCATGTGCCCCGGCCGCGTCTGGAAAGGTCAGTGTCAAGTCAGTCAATGGAAAAGTGGTGTCCGAGTGTGTGCAGTCATTACCATGTAGTCTCAGTTGTCAGTGGGCGACTGCGGAACAGCTAGCCCATTAGTGCATCGGCAGTTCCTCGTCCTTCTTTTTTCTTCTGACCTGATCTCAAGAATGGATTCGTATGGGTCGGGGTGGCCAAGTCGATATGCAAGAGAAGAACTGCACCGATCTCTGAGGAAGAGGAGGCAATTGGCTTTGCAGGCTTGCAGGCTCGGGTTCGGGGGATTGCGCGGTTCATTCTTGGGCCCAGGTGCTCGGACGGGATGTCTGTTTGCCCAGAACCACCCGGGGGGGAGAAAGGGAGGGGAGGCTGAGGGGGCGCGACTGAGACAAAAGCTTCTCGTTGGACACGGAGACAAGACATCTTTTCGCCTATCATGTGCCGCCGGCGTTTAGCCCGCCTCATGTCAAGCGATGCTTCTTTCAGTTGTGACCTGCATGCACCCAGAGCGAGCTGACCTCGGCTCTTTTGTTGTGGCATCAGGAAGCTAGTTTAGTACTAAGTTGCCCCGAGTTAGCCGGCAAACCGTTTTGACCATCTGTGCCCAATCTCAATCTTGGAACGCCGTTGCAGCGTCGCCTGGACCTCCCACGTGCTGAAACGCACAAAGGGGGCGGGTGCGACGTTTGTCCGGCAGAATGACGCCTGCACCCAATTATTGACTGCAGGGCGACTTTTCCGAGAACAGAAGTCCAGTCCATCGATCCATAAAATGGAATACTCCTTTGCACAAGGTCTTACATCAGATCTTCTCCCAGGGCCGGCCTCTTTGTTCCAGAAGATGCGTATTCGGTCTCGGACCCATGCATGGCAGTATATGCAGTCTGGTTTGATCTTATTGACATAAAGGAAACGTTGCTTTAGGGCTGCGATGGTCGGGCATTTGCATCACGGTATAAGCCCTCCGACCGAGGGTCCGGAACCAAACGGGTCTCCGGACCCGAGCTCCGCATATATGGGTGGGTACCCGGTACCCGGATACGGCCCCGATCACGGCCCCACAGGCCCGGACGGATTCGCACCAGCTACCACGCACTCTATATCGTTGCGCAAATGGAATTACTGGAACAATTTCCCATGGTAACTGACGCAACGAGAGAGGAAAATCAACGCTTCTCTTTATGTTCTAGCACACCCGTTTTCTCCCACAAACATTTGAGTCGAATTGTGATGCGGAAGTCATACGTGTTCTTGGCTATCCCGACCAGTTCCGAATCCACAAGGGAGAAATACCCTTGCTGAGATTTCTCAGCAAGACAAGACATAAAATCGATGGCTGCGAAAGAGTAGATCGGGGGGATTAGCCAATTACCCGTGACGGTTTGAGAGACCAAACGCACTGGTGAGAATACAAAGGCACGAATCAAGATGGCCAGGCCAAGAACCTCTTGGCAGGTTTCTTGCAGATTCGATGGCTAAGAGATCACCAATCTCAGAAAGTCAACCGTGGTAAGAGGGGCACATTGTCACGAATCATAGTAGGCAAAGGAAGTAGTGTGGTGAAAAACACGCTTGATTGTCTATTTCGTCAAATCGTTTCTCAAAATCCCTCCATAGCCGAGCAGGGAGTACCTATTGACAGGCGCCCCCCAAAACCGCCAGGCATTCGAAGTAAAAGCCATCACCCGTACCCCAAGCCGCCAGATCGAATCATATGCCCCCCAATATGTATTAATCGACTTCCCAAAAGTCTCCCACCGAATGAAATGAAAGTGTGACCAGTCAAGTCCACACGGGGGGTTCCTTAAAGAAGAAGAGCAGCAGCAGCGACGGCGCTGAAGACGAAGGCGCCCAAGGTGGCGACGAAGTTGCTGGCCCCAGCAGTCACAACGGTAGTAGGCTTGGGGGCAATAGGAGCCCCGGTGGCGGTAACTGGGGGCTGGACAGCCGGAGGCTGAACACCAGGGGCTTGACCACCAGGAGCCTGACCACCGGGGGCCTGACCACCCGGAGCCTGACCACCCGGAGCCTGACCACCCGGAGCCTGACCACCCGGAGCCTGACCACCCGGAGCCTGACCACCAGGAGCCTGACCACCCGGAGCCTGACCACCGGGGGCCTGGCCACCAGGGGTCTGAACAGGGGGCTGGACGGCCGGGGGCAGGGTCGCGGGAGGGGCTGGCAGGTAAGGGGTCTTGGTAACGGGAGGAGGAGTGACAACCACGGTGGTGCAAGCCGCGCCGTTGCAGGTAACGGAGGTAACGGGGTTCGGGGTGACGACGTAACCGCACGTGCTGCAAGGGGGGGCCGGGGTGGGGCAGCTGCCGTCGCAGCCCTTGACGATGCTGTAGCCGCCGTTGTTCCACTCGTACTTGTTGAGAGCCTCAGAGGCAGAGCATGTGGTGAAGGTGCAGGAGCCGTCCTTGCAGAGGCACTTCTGGTTGCAAAGATCGCCGGAGCACTTCTCAACCTGGCAGTAGTTTCCGTAGCAAGTAACCTTCTGCTCGTACTCGGCCATGCCCTTGGTGGCGAAAGCACACTTGCCGGAGTTGCAAACAACCTTGCGGCCACAGTCGAAACCGCTGCAGGCCTCAGGGCGGCAAGAACCGTCTGTGCAGACAACACGACGATCACATTCAGGACCGTAGCAGCCGAAGTTGAAGGTGCAGTATTGACCGTAGCAGTTGATGACCTTGTAGCAGTCGTCACCGTAGCACTTGTCGCCGCCGGGAATTCCGGTAGGGAGACCGGTGGGGAGAACAACGCCGGTGATGAAGCTAGGGACACTGGCGGTACCGCTAGGGACAATCGGGATGACACCGGTACCGGTGCTGGCACGGACGTAGATGGTGAAGCGGATGTTGGCAGCAATGACACCGGGGAGCTGACGCTTGGTAACAGTACCGAAGACACCACCGCAGCGCTGGGTTGAGGGGGCTCCACCGCAAGGAATGTTGCACTGCTCCTCCGCGACCTTGGGCTCGTTGACATCGTCAATGTAGTCACCGCAGAAGCAGTCATTGGCGTAGGTCGCAGCGTAGCGCTTGCCGCGGCCGGAACACTCAGTAATGCACCTGTCGTTGGTCATGACCGAGTTGGACAGGACAATGCTGAAAGTCGGGAAGCTGGAAGGAGACCTGTAGCAACCGATGTAGGTGAAGCCGCCAACGTTCACGGGGTTGAGGACACCAGCAGACGGGGTTGCTGTGCTGGAGGCTGTACCGGTGGACGTACCGGAAGACGTACCAGAGGATGTACCAGAGGACGTGCCAGAGGACGTGCCGGAGGACGAGGAACGGCTAGTGCTGGAGCCACTGGTGGAGGAGCCACTGGTGGAAGAGCCACTGGTGGAAGAGCCACTGGTAGACGAGCCACTAGTGGTCGAGCCACTGGTAGAGGCTGTGACAGTGCTAGAGCTGGACCTAGAGACGGAGCTGGTCGTGGAGACAGAGACGGAACTGGCCGAGGAGCCAGAGACGGAGCTTGTCAAGGAGACGGTGCTAGACAGACTGCTCGAGGCACCAGGGTTGCCAACCTCGATGATCGGGGCAGGAGAGTTCTGACGACGGCGGTTAGAAGGGTTGGCGGGGCAAGGAACGATCGTCAAGTCAGTCCTCTCCAGGTTACCGCAGAAGCAGGCGTTGTTGACAAAAGAGTTGTACTTGAAGACCGTGGCGCCTGTGGAGCAGGCAGCGACACAAGTCTGCTGGGTGCTAACGGGACGGGTGATGAGATCGGTGAAGGGGGATTGTCCATTCGGAACATCCCTGCAACCACGCGACGTGAGAGTCAAGGTGATTTGGACGCCGTTTGCGTCGGTGACAACGACATTGACGGTCACTCCAGCGGGCAGGGTGCGGAAGGTGGCGAAGTCGACTGTGGCGCCAGGCGATACAGCGGACTGAGTGGCGCTAGCAACAGAAGACGATGAGCCACCGGCGACTGTGGTGGAGGCAGATACCGGTGTGGTCACCGGAGCAGAGCTGGTGGTGTTGAGAAACTGTGCCTCGGAAGTCGTCGCGAAAAGCGAAACGACGCCCAAGAGAGCCCCAGCGGCACCTCGATGAGTGAACTTCATAGTCGCGGAGTGAAAGAATGGACGTGCAAGGCAAAAGACCTGTACACTGTTGAAAAAAAGCGAGCGGAAATAAGTATGATGAGAAAACGAGCGTAGGTAGTTGGAAACCTTGTTGTGATGACTGCAAAAAAAGAATCGAGAGAGGACGGCGTCGACGCAACCTTATATATCTTTTCATCCTCATCGCGGCTCAACAAACTGACCGTCGTCAGTCAGACATCGTCAAGGTACATTCTTCCGTCCCTCGGGCTCACCATTCTCCCCTTGCGTCGACATTTCCCATGCCCAAACATGAGAGACAAGATTAGCCTGCGTGCCTGACACTTACAAACTCCCTCCTCAACAACCGCCCTCCGTATCTCGACCGCCATTTTTTTTCTCGTTCCCCTCTAGCCTGTCTCATCCTCTCTGGTCATGTTGACCTTTACCAGGCGGTCAAGAATGGATCGCTTGGGTGACGAGCTCATCCGATTACAATGTCTCACCTTCTCCGCAATCCAACTGAGGGAGAAGGCCTCAACAAGGGACCAATCAATAACTCCGCTGGCGGGAGGAGAGACACTTACTACTCCTAATCCTCTTTACACATGCATTTCCCTTTCGCACGAACTTGGAGATTGTGCCTTGTTTGTGGCGCTCCCGCCGCCGCCCTCTCGAGCATTTCCATTGACGACAACATACAATTTCGCCATCCCTGGGCCAAAGTTTTTGCTTGGAATTCGTGAGACTGCCCTTTAATCATCTGGTTCAAATCTCCGCCCCCCTTTTCTCCCATCCCTGGTAGTGCCGCTCTCCCGCTCGATCTGCCCCTGTCTATCACGATGAGGCTCTTGGTCCTACGATCCTTTGGAATCATCCACCAGTGAGCGAGTCATTCGTGTCTAGTGAAAGGTCTCGGCCCGTTGGACCTTTGGAGTCATGTCATAGACCTGCGGCTCTAATGCAACATGTCCTCCCTGGCAGACGAACGTTTCTTTTTCCTGGCACTAGACCGTACAGTAAGGCAACATGACGGCATAAAATCTCCCAGAAAGGCCGTTTGCTTACCGCAGGAATAAAGTCTCCACTGTATTTGCATAGCCGAGGCATTTGCCCATACGTTGAGGCAAGCTTCACCGTCGAGGAACTTAACCACTTTTACTGACCAATGCAAGTGACAGGGACAAAATTCCAAGACGACATCTCCTTCATGTATCTTCTTTTTAGACTCGGCAATCTAAAAATGGCACTCTTGACTAGAATACCTTCGTCTCGTAGCATCTCTACAGGTGAAAAGCCGCCGGTTGATGTGGTTCATGTAATTTGTACGCCCTTCCCGACGAACGCTTAGCCCAAGGTCCGGACCAATGAGCCTAGCCGCCTACATTTCTGATCGCACAGTCAAAGAATGCCTATGACTCCTCGCCCCAGATACGAACGAGGCTAACATACTTGGACTCTGAAATGGAAACATGGCAGACATACGCCTTCAAGCCAATAGCAGGTTAATAACTTCCTTGCCAAACGTGTAGTGTCGCTGCGAGGGACATGTAATTGTTAGCTGTGATAATTACCAACATCACCCCGACCGTAACCAATATGAAATGGGGCAAACGAGATGCATACATGTGACAGTGGGAATGAAGACAGTTCTTGTCCCCGAAGCAGGTCCTCGTCGGGTTGAATGTTAATAAACCCTAGGTCGATCATACCAGCGACAAATGGGGCTTCAGTGACTTAATGCCAGCTGTTGAGTAGTGATAGGCCCGCTAGTACCTCTCTAGAAAGGGAAAACGCTTGATGGTGGTTTTGTTTCAAACCATGCTTTTGCCTGCATCCCTTGGTCGCCGGAGAGCCAACCATGTATCGTGAAGCTGAAAATAGCTCCGTGTGGCTAACACCAGTTGTGGCCGACACCGACGTGGTGATATGTTTTCAACTATATGCACAGACCACTTCATAGGGGTATTTCTACCAGACATCCCCCCTCCTGCGTAACTTCTCAGGAGGACAAATACTTTATCTTCATTGAGCAGACGCTGGGGTTTATCGTATCATAAAAGCGATTTCTTCCCTGAAATAGCTCATGGTAACTGAATATCTCCATGTACACCAGCTACCGACTTTTAGCATACTCCACATGGTGCTTTTTCTTTTCCCGTTGACTAGCCATTATAGACACCATATCAGCATATTCGGAACTAGCACTCAGGATGCAAATAGTCTATGATAACATGCACAAGATGGCGACTCGATTCCAACTTCAATAAGACTATAGAACAGGTGACACTCGAGGCTTCCAGATTCCCCAATAGATGCGGCTCCGTTTCTGGTTCATGTCCAACATCAAATAATTTCAGTGAGGAGCGTCTGTATGTAGGCTTGAGACCCAATGCTCTGGCCATGAATGAAAAGTCCATTTTCCATGTGACAGCCCGCCAGTGCAAATAATTCTTCGGCTAGCAGTCGCAAGATCGTCAACCAGTGGCACACCTCTACTACGTGCGTGATTTCTGATCACCAATTGGGGAAAAAAGGTAGGTCACCGCACCTTTGACATCAATAGATTGGCCCTACTTGAATGGCGGCGCGCGGACTGGAAATCTTCTCATCGAGTTTCCCAAGGCCGTCAATGCAAATGTGAAAGTGCCTGGCTATGCTATAAAACCACCAACAGGGCCTACACCCTGTCTGGACCAGCTACTACACCTGTCAGAAGCTGCTTTGCTGTCCGAATAGTTTTTAACAATGCTATTGAGGATCTTGTGCGCCTCCATCTTGCGGGTGGTGCGATGAACGGCCCTCAATTTGGATATTCCGGCTGTGCTTTACAATAAGTGGTAGACATATCTACGAGGAGAGGATACATGCCGCCGTGAGCTTTAATAACCTGCGCTTGAGGACAGTGTCCGTTAGCTCACCACCTAATCTCTGATTTAAGCTGACCTGGGAAAATAGACCATGAGTCCGGGGCCGCAGTACCCAAGAAAGTCTCAGGGTGTTTAGAATGGCTGTTACCGGTCACTTCTCAGATGGACCTGAACTGCCAGCATGATATCTACATGTATTACGTTGCCCTATGTGTAAGCTGGTACAGGGCTGGACGCAGGAGAGGATGGGGAATGTGGGTCGCAACGGGCGCTGATAGGTCTATCCTGCAGTTTAGCTGAACATCGGGTGGGTGAAATATGGGTTGCGGGGGTTTCTCCGTGGTGGTCTGACAGTATCGCGAAGGTGGTCTGATAGTATAAGCATAACGGGACTTTGCATTTGGCAAAACCTACCATTTTGGAACATCGGGTCAGAGGTACCAACCAAGGTAAAGTAAGAAATCGCTCCACAAAACACTATCAGTAATATACAAACTACAAGGTATCTGGAACAATTCATGGTAGTTGCCACCCATGGACTCTGTTCGTGAACAAGAATTAATAAGGGAATGGTCCTTGTATCTTTCGAGCACGGCTTTGTACCCACTTGTATACTAATCCTTTCGAGCCAATAGCTGCTTAGGAGCCTGGTTCGTACTCTTCCACAGTCGTCTGTCAAGGAGAACAATTGAGAAGAGTTGTACAACGCACCCTCAGCTTCGCCACAAAGACAATAGTCTCAAATGGCTTGCGGAAAAAACCAATCAGATAAATAAGTTACCATAATAGCTCGAGGTCCCTTGTCAACCACTGTCGCTCGGCTTATTCTGTTGGCTGTTGGGAAGAGAGGCTTTTTCTTTCCATTCTATGCTCCCCACCTGACCAATGTAACATGAGTCGGGCGCGAAGTCGGGTGCAGATTTTCGTATTGAAACCAATGATTTGCACATGGATTATCCAATACGTACAACAACCGTATTCCTGAAGTTGGTTCAAGGCTTCCATGTAGGCTACTGTAACCTGAGGCCTAGTGTTTAAGTCCCGCTACAGGAGAGATAGATGTACGTAGTTAGTCTAAAGTGAGTCTAAAAAGGCAGAGTCTATGTACTTTCCTGTGGTTAAGACTACACTAGTTGTATATCCTCTGGCATAAGAATAGGCCTAAGCCCTATAGCGCCCTTAGGCCTGATGGGTATGTTGTTAAAGTGCTAGAGGTATATAGCAGTCATCAATGTTATAAGCAAACGGGGGTGCCTCCACTTTTGTAATGTACTATGACACTTGTTGGTCAGTTTTCATACTACTATGTCTGAAGTCATCTAGTAGCTGCTCGCGTGTCTCCCTCTTTACGCGGCTGTATGTAGGGCGTCTTGTGTAGCGGTCATCAGGTTCCATTTCGGCGCCTTCTTTTGCAAGTCATGTAGTCACAAGATCTAACTCCCATATTTTCCACTCAAAGCTCATCCAAATGGGGACAGCGTTACACAGACACGGAAGTGGCTGTGGACAGCCTTTCTAAAGCGGCGATGCTATTTCTCCACCTGTGTCACGATGGATGCATTTGCGACCTGCGGCTTTAGGATAGAGGTGCAGGTAAATAGCCAATCCAATATTTCAACGGCCAACAAAACGGTCACATATGCTGGGGATGTTGTTCCTGCCATGACTGAGGGATTACGTTGCGGCATGACTGTAGATCCATATCCAAAATACTTGGTGTTGAGAATAATAGAGACGGGAAGATTTCCGGCTCTTTCTGATAGGTTGTGGGTTCTGCCCAAGGAGACAAAAATCAAGTATATAAAGTGGTCGGTTGTCCATCCCCAACCAACTTCTCGGCAGCACCAACAGTCTTTTGCTTCATTATCCAATCACCCGAACGAATCATACTCTACCTTTGTAATCGTCAAGAACAAAGCTTGCTACCAGCACCAAAGTTCAAAATGCAGTTCTCTGTTGTCCTCGTTGCTCTCTTCACCAGCGCCACCATGGCCGCTCCCACCACCGAGACCGAAACTTCTGTCTACATCCCTTGCTCTGGACTGTACAGCAGTGTTCAGTGCTGTGCTACCAGTGTCCTTGACCTTGCCGACTTGACCTGTCGCCCACGTAAGTTTTACATGGAGGTCTGCATATTGGAACATGCATCTAACGGCCGAACCACAGCTCCGAAGGTCCCTACCTCCGCCGCCAACTTCGGCAAGATCTGTGCCGACATCGGACAGCGTGCTCGCTGCTGTGTCCTCCCTGCTGTAAGAAAGCCATCTGGATCTTGCCCCTCGGTGGAAATATGCTGACGTTGTATGTCAATAGCTTGGGCTGGGTGTTCTCTGCCAGACTCCCGCGGGTGTCACTTACTAGGTGATTGTGTCCGGGATCTAAGACCTGGGACTCATTCGATGATGGCTTCGCATCAGCGACCAGAACAGATTTTCATTGCCCCACGTGTGCAATGCCATCTGACGATCGGGATGTAACTACAACTCGGAGTCCAAACACACCGTTGAAGGAATGACAATCATAGGTGATTTGGAGCCTACCTCTATTGAATGTTAGAATCACTATAATATATCTTGGCCTTTATCGACCACTTTACGGAACCACTAATATAAAGTGATGAATGCCACCGTAAGAATCTTCAAAGCCTTCCGTTCCATGTCATATGCGGAGATGACTTCAAACTGGTCATAAAATCTGATGATGCCATGGCTGCATACGAGAGAGAGAGGTCAAGGGTTCTTCTCTTCCCGGGTCTTTATTGGTGGGGTTTCTCAAAATTGTGTTGCCAAGAACTTGCGGCCTCAAGCTTTGCGTCTCAGATGTATCATTTTGTGCAAAAGCTGGGCAAAGGAGCAAGAGTCCGTGACCCCACCTCCTTAGCTTCAGTGCTGACGCACAGAAATGCATGAGAAGCAATAATGTTTACTTGAAGGAAACGACCCCAGTGGCTTGTGGTTTGCGCTGATACGAATTTGCTCTAACTGAACGCTCAGGCGCCGGCAAAGTTTTTTAGCCACCGGTTGTTCGGTGGTGAGCGTGGTGAGAGGAACCATCAACAGATGAAGGCTGGTGTATTGGGCGGCCACCAAGGAGGTTGTCGAGATGCAGAGATGGGAGGGTCCGAAGGAACCATCGGGGTTGCGTCTGAGGAGTGTCAGTGGCTAGGCTTAACTGGCTTATAGCATGTTGCTGAGGTTGGCTTGGGAAGCCGTATAGCTCCAAACCAGCGGCTTTCATTGGTCAGTAGGGAATTGATAATTGGCTACTTGCCGCTGCCAGGTCATACGGCGGAATGCTTGTGGTGAGTAAGCCGAACCGGCCTCGACTGCTCGAGGACTGTTTCCTTTAAACGGCATGTCTTAGCTGGCCACTTGGCAAGGGATAATACCAAGAACCACCCGTAAGTTATGGCTTGTCTTTGTTCCCGTAGCATCAAGTGGGACCGACCCCCAGTCGGCAAAGTGGAGAGTGCTCGGTGAGGGCGGCATCGTCTCGGTGACTACACCGAAGATAAGATAGCGGGTCCCACCAGCCGAACCCAAAAATTTGACCTTTGTAAGGAACTTTTTCCCCATGTACAGTCAACACTACCTACCTTCATATCCCCCAAACACGACGTCCTCTGATCAACACGCCAATTGTCTTGCCAGGCGACTGAAAAACAATGGCCGGAACAGCTACCCAGAAGAGGAAAAATGACGGCCGACTCGCGCCCCCGTCCAAAAAACAAAAACGACAAGATAAGAAGCAGGCGGAGCCCGCCTCGGAGGATGAAGACCAAAGTTTCGACGCTGTGAACCTCGTCGACTCGGACGACGATGACATCCTCAACGCCAACGTCGACGACGGCGCCGTCTCGGACGACGACGATTCAGTGAGCTCCGCCGACGAGCGCCCAGCGCCCAAGAAGAAGACAAAACCCGCTCCCTCGGCGGCGAAGGAGAAGAAGAAGAAGAGCAGAGACGCGCCCGCCGGCACGGACTCGGACTCGGAATCGGAAGAGGAGAGCGGCGACGACGGCGAGGGCGCGCCGCAAAGGACAAAATCCAAACGCAACGACCCGTCGGCCTTTGCGACGTCCATGTCCAAGATCCTCGCGACCAAGCTCACCACGGCGAAGCGGGCGGACCCCGTGCTCGCCCGCAGCGCCGAGGCGCACGAGTCGGCGCGGGCGGCCGTCGACCTGGCGCTCGAGGCCAAGGCGCGCAAGCAGCTGCGGCAGCAGAAGAAGGAGGCGATGGAGCGGGGCCGCGTGCGCAACGTGCTGGTGGCGCCCGAGACGGAGAACGTGTCGACGGGGGACATGATTGAGACGGAGAGGCGGCTGCGCAAGGTCGCGCAGAGGGGTGTCGTCAAGCTCTTCAACGCCGTGCGCGCGGCCCAGGTCAAGGCCGTCGAGGCGGAGAAGAAGGCTCGCAGGGACGGCGTCGTGGGCGTGGTGAGGAGGGAGGAGAAGATCAACGAGATGAGCAAGAAGGGGTTCCTGGACCTGATTGCGTCCGGCGGCGGGGGGCTGAAGAAGGGCGGTTTGGAGGAGGCTTGAGAGCCCCACGAAGAAAAAGAAGATGGAAAAACGGATGGATGGATGGATGCCAGTGCCGGGTGTGGCTTACGGTTTCCTCTTGTCGTTGACATGCCGGCCCTGTACAGGATTATGAGCTTAGAGGAGTGATGTTATTTCCCTCCCATCGTCCCTTGATACCCGCCGAATATCTAGCATAAGCCGAGCCGAGCCGACGTGTATTCCCCTACCTCCCCTCCCCCAACCGTGATGTCGCGCTTGCTTCAATTGAAGGATACGACTTTTCTCGCAACACCCCCCCTTGTCCCTTTTTCATGACATGTAATATGTAATAGTATAGTACAGATGATTAAAACAGCGCGGGTGAGGTATGCCGCATCCAACGCCCGCCCGCCAAAATGGTCGAGATTCTTCATGTCTTATTTGAAGTCGCTGGCCTGGAGGTTCCGCGTCATGGAGGGCAGCTTGACTTTGAGGCCGTCCAGCTCCTTGGTCATTGTGACCTGGCAGCCGAGCCGACTCGTCTCGGTCAGGCCAAAGGCAAGGTCGAGCATGTCGTTCTCGTCGTCTTCGGGCTCGGGCACCTTGTCGTAGTATTCCTCGTCGGCGACGATGACGTGGCAGGTCGAGCAGGCGCAAGAGCCTCCGCAGGCACCTAATCTCTGCTGTTAGCCGGATGCCGTCCAGTGCTAGCCATAACTTCTTGTGAGGGCAGCTGCGTCCACCTACCCTCCATCTCCAAGTCGTTGTCTTGGGCGATATCCAGCAGGTTATCACCTTCGCTGACGGCAATCTTGTGCTCGTCGCCATCCTTATCGACAAAGGTCACCCACAGCCTGCGGCAACAGTCAGTCGAAGGGTCCCCCCCCCCCATACAATCATGGGGTCCGTGTCCTTACTCTTCGCCGGGCTTGGGAGGGGTGAGATGGTTGTGCGGCTTGACGGCCGAGACTGAGAAGCTGCGGGCCGAGGGCCATTGGACCCGTCGGGAGACGAGCTGCGCAGGTCTCTTGGGCGCTGTCGTGCTGTGAGTGTTTCGGCTCTGTCGTTGCAGCGGGCGGGCCTGTCGGCAGGCGCCGGTGGCTACCCTGCAGAGGGTTGCGCTGAGTCTCGCGGAGGGCATGGCCGCTCGGTATGAGTCCGTTCTCAGCCGGGGATTCTTCTCGAGCGGAGGACAAAAGGCGTCGAGTAAAAGGCGCAACGGAGGGGTTGGATTGCAACGGAAGGGAAGGGAGAGAAAAGTAATCAATGGCAGTTCGACCAAGTCATCGCCATGCGCAAACGAACTGGGTTGAACCGCTGCAGCTAATTTGTGCTAGTTATTTGCTGGTGTCTCTGCACGGGGTGGCGCCAGCAAGCAGTGACAAAAAGTTGTTGGAAAGCTTCGACAAATGCGCAAGGGCCCCTGTGGAGATGTATTGGATTCATGGAAATTTCCATAGGCTGTTCACGGCCTACGGTAGCTCCGTCGAGACCCGCAGCTATCGGTCTTATCGGCCGGCAAATGGCGATGTTCCGACTCCGGGACCCCCCTTCCATTTGTTTACTCGGAAGGCGCGTTAAGTGCAACCTACCTGCCTGCCTCTACTAGGTACGTACCTAGGTAGGTAGAGTCTTTGGGTTAGTAGATACGTACCGTCAAGCACAGAGTACGTACTCCGTACCGGTATCCGTACTCCGTATCCGTACAGATAGTAGGTATTAGGTACTGTCCCGGGAAGGAACCGGCGGGCCCCGCTAATCTTATCTCCGAGGTCGTTCCATTTCATCATGCAAAATTGGGAGCAAAAGTGGAAAAGCTCTTGAAATCATGCACCACCACAGTTGAGCCTCAGCCAGCCTCCGAACCGATCATCATGGCCTCTCATCGAGAAGGGGGGGTGAATCCCTTGAGACCATACTACAAGCCGCCGACCATAGGAGAGCCGTCCGACCCGACCTCGGCCTCATCTGCGCCCAACCCCTTTGCCCGCCATGCAGGCAATGCGACGAGCGAGCGGTACGCGTCAAAGGCACGAGACATCTTTTCCGACATCGACTACAAGGACTACATCAGCGAGCCGTCCCCTTCCGTCGTCCAAACCGTCAAGGACCTCGTAGACGAGCTGTTGTGGAAGTACGCATCGGTGCTGACCGCCCAACCGTTCGAGGTTGCGAAGACAGTCTTGCAGGTCCGGAGCCACGATGACGTGACGATGGGGGCACCTGCAGCATCCGCCGCAGCGACGCCCCTGGCCACACCCGTCTCGGAGCGGTTGCAGTCCCAGTACGGGAGCGCCGTCTTCAGTGAGGGCGACTCTGACTCTGATCTCGACGAGCCTGCCTACTTCACCTCCAACGCTCCCGTCACCCCGACCCCGTCGTATCGACACCGCCAGTCGTCGCCCTCGCCCCCACACACACCGGCGCCGAAGCAGCCCGTGCCGCCTTACCACCTTAACATCCGCCGCTCCGACTCGTTGATGGAAGTCATTGGCCAGCTCTGGCAGAAAGAGGGTGCCTGGGGCGTGTGGAAGGGGTCGAATGCGACCTTCCTCTACTCGATCCTCTCGTCCTTGCTGGAGAACTGGTCCAGAAGTGCTCTGAGCGCACTGTTCAACGTGCCCGACCTGGGCGTTAAGGAGGACATTGATCGCCTGATTGATATCGCCTCGCCCTACCCTTGGGCTTCTCTGTGTGCTGCCGCAGCAGCGGCCGTTGCGACGGGCCTCATTCTCGCGCCCCTGGATTTGGTGCGCACAAGGTATGTCACCGTCTGTCTTGTTCGCTTACCCTTGTTTACGAACGGTGCTAACTCTTGACCTTAGACTGATCGTCACGCCCACTTCGAAACAGCCACGGAGGACCTTGTCGACCCTCCGGGCTCTGCCCTCCTACGTCTGCCCCTCGCTGCTCGTTGTCCCCACCATTCTTCACTCTCTCATTCACCCCATCCTCACACTGTCGACACCACTGGTTCTCCGGACCCGGTTCCTTATCGACAGCCGCGTGTCGCCTACCACCTTTTCGATTGCCAAATTCTGTGCTTCCTCGGCGGCGCTCTTTGTCAAGCTCCCGCTGGAGACGGTCCTCAGACGTGGTCAGGTCGCTGTCCTCTCCACCCCGTCACATGTCCGCGCGCTCTCGGGCAAGGACCAGAAACTGGAGACCAACGTGCCACCCGGTCGCTACCACGGTGTCGTTGGAACCATGTTCTACATCATGAACGAGGAGGGGTCTCGTGCCGTTCCGGCGACCAAACCGACACCGATGAAGAAGGCCAAGGCCAAGGCCAAGGTCGCAAAAACGGTGTACCGCAAGGGCCAGGGACTGGAGGGCCTATGGCGCGGCTGGAAGGTCAGCTGGTGGGGTCTCGTCGGGCTCTGGACTGCGGGCGTTATCGGCAACAGCGCCGAGGGCGAGTTCTAGAAGGGGGATTTCCAAGCGACCAAGCGCGACGCATACACCACCCGACGGCCGACTGCGACTCGACCTGCAGCCACATGCGAGGTCGAGGGCGAGACGAGGGCGAGTGGGTGCGAAAACAAGACGGAAAACAAACATTGTAATTCTTCTGCCGTACGGAGTACTAGAAGTGCGTATCTTTGGATTCGGGCTTCACCGGCGTTTTTGGGGGGATGATTTTTTTTTTCCAACAGTCCCGAACAACTCTCTCCTCCACGACCATGACGAGATACGGCATGATATCCTTCCAATTCCGACTGTTACACAAAAAGGCAGCTAAACTTACCAAAACATCCTCTCCGTCACCAGGGAAAAAAAAAGAAAACCTAAAAAAAAACCTCACATCAAACAAGATGTACTGTAGCTCTTGTGCTTCACTCGACGCCTTTGATTTCAAGTCCGAAGGCTCCTGGAACGCTGAGCCATACCCATAATAGAAGGATGTGCGTTGAAATTAGTTATCCGTCGTGACACTCCTCCCACAGTTGGGTTTTCGTGCACGCTGCGAAGGTCGTGTCACCTCCTTCTCGTCATATAACATATTACGGCCGTGACTGAGAAGAGATTCTTGGCCAGCCACTCCCCCTTCATCCCCTTTCGTACAACACGGAAACTTGGTTCGGGACGGAGGGCCAACCCGGCCTGGAGAGCCCAGTGCGACGGGGGTGCCTGCATTCAGGGCGCAGCTGTCAGTCACACTGCGGTAGCCTACGTATGGTGCGGTGCCCAAGCCAAGGTTCATCATCTGTGACGAGGCACTTTGGGACCCCGTGGTCAATCTTCAGTCTCCCCAATCAGGCTGAGCGGTGCTTCCCCCCCGGCTGATGGAAGCTGGAGTGCTGCTCATGCGCCGCACACCAAGGCTGTAAGCGTGTCGATTCCGTAACCCTGTAACCCTGTAGCCTGCAGCCTGTAAGTTGTTTTCTCCCAATTCCTCATCCGAGAATGCAGGGGGGGGAAGAATTGGTGGGGCAAGCAGCAGCTAGAAGACCTGTCACCGAACTGCGCATCGTGACTATTTCCACATTGAGTCCTACAATCGGCTATCACTCCTCTTATCTGGGAGGGTTATTGGGGTAGGCGGAAGAGGAGGAGCCGGGAGGATGATGACGATGGGGGAGGAGGAAGAGGCGAGGGCGGCGCGGACCGTAAGGCGTTTGTTTGTATTGGGGGCCGAAAGGGAGTCCTTTGCCGGGATTGACAAGGCAGCACACAAAGGGACATCCTTCGGGTGTCCATAAATGAATGTATGGCCGGAAGAGACAACACTTTACACTCCAGCTTTCACTCAAACACATCTCATCCTCTTCCCACGAAGCCTACACCCAGCAAAATAAAACAGAAGAAGAAGAAGACGAATCAGAAGGAGAAGAAGAAGAACAAGAAGAAAAACCATGGCGCGCACCTCCATCTTCCGTCTTGGTTCGGCCTTCAACGCCGCCCTCCTCGCCTGTATCATCCTCAAGCACATCTCCCTGGCCCTCGCCCGCTCCGCAGCCCGCCACGTCTGCATGGCCTTCCTCATGCCCATCATGATTCTTCACGTTGCTATCATCGATGGCTGAGACACATGTCTCGCCTCGGAACCAAAAGGGGTCTGACAAGACCGACCCCTCGAGGACGCCTATTCTAAATCCCTCCACATGCCCTCCCCAGGACGAGACATTCTCACCTCTTTTTCCTGCCTTCGCCGTCTATTCAAGGGCGATGGAGTACGAGTACTCCGTACGCACACGCCAAACTCGCAGCTGTCTCAACGCCCCGGTCCTCATCCAAAGGAGTGGCATCACCTATGCACACTCACTCCCCTCCCTCTCCTTGACTCACCATGCGTCAGCGTGGAGCAAATCCCGCCGGCGGAGACGTAGTCGCCGGTATCCCTTCCGCCGTCTCGCTTTGAAGCGTCCAGTCGTCTCCTCCGTGGCTCTACCCGGGGGTTCGCTTTCGCCCCTTCCCGCTGGCCAGGCACGGAACACCGCTAGGCGAGGAAGTGCTTCAGACATGCGGTGCTGTCGGCGGCCAGTCTCGGCCATCTTGGCGGGGCAAAAACGTTGATGGAGGTTTTTTGTACACCGTTCCGTTGCCGGGGTTGCATTTCCGCTGTCCCTGCTTTTTGTGGTGGCTTATATATGTCTTTTTGGTCCGATGTCGTGGGTGGCGGGCAGGTTTTCGACCGAAGCCTCCGGCTTCTGGTATTAGCTTGGGAGTCGGCTGATGATGGCTGGACCATTCTAAAGACGGATGCGTTCAAACTTCTGTTTTCTTTTTGCGCGCCGGGTGGGGGCCCAGGCATCGCTGAGACCAGGGCAGCCCGCCTTTGTCAACTATCTTCCCGGGTCTGAGGCCTCGGGCACCGGTCCGTTTGTTTGTATAATGGAAAATCCCTCCGAGACACCCATCACCACATTCTTGTCAAGTTGGCCGGCTCAGCAGGACCCATCTTTGGGCATGTCGAGCCTGAGCTTAGCTGCATTGGTGACTTTGTATTTAGCCTATACCTTTGGCGCATAGTTACCTTCGGCTAGCAACGTGGGTGGCTGTGCGTGTAGGCGGTGGCAGCATCTCGACCTAGCTTGTATAGTTGCCATGCATCTTTGAATATTCACGATACTCCATCTAGGTGGTTGAGATTTGCATAGTTCCGAGTTCCTATCCATCACATAGCATAAGCTTGTCCTAGACTCGCTGTTGAGATTCAATCCAGTATATTCAGCCAGCCACCACCGCCTCCAGTTGGTCACTACCTGACATGTCAATTCCATGGCTGGAAGCAAGTATATATCCGACGCAGTGCGGCCCATCATACACAAGTACTTACTATACATTTCAGTGTTGCCAACATCTCCCTTGATTTCGTCCAAATGAATACTTATCTTCGCATTGCCTCGCCAAGCTGCCTCCACACACACCAAAAGTGTCGGTGTTTACATACAGCCTGGGCACTACGGCTGGGCGTGACGCTTAAGACACGCGCTTACATGTCCTCACGCTATCGAATATGACACGGGGCTGGACTACTGAAGCTGTGCACTAGCCGGCGAGTATACAGGTCGCCAAGACGTCTAACTGTTCTCCCGGTGTCTCACTCGAATCCGCCTGCTGACAGATTACGGAGTGAGTTCACACCGAATATCGGCAACAAGGCCCCGAGAGCTCGAGGCGCAACGCCTGCATCGAGATGTTGCCACCTCTCAACGACAACTGCTCTGGTTTCTGCAGAAGACTCTTTCTGGGTGTTTGCGCAGTGTCCGTACGATTCAGAAATGCCTCAACTATGGTTCCAAGTCACCTGAGAAACCGGATTCGAACAACATTCGAGGTCGTTCGTGAGAAGCGAGACCCAACCGCGGGGCTGTTCCACATCTGGGAGCCACCACGCGCCGTTTGCGAACGGAGACTAAACCTTTTCTCATTCCTAAACCCTACCATTTGCATGGTTCGCCGTGGGGCTGAAAAAAACGAATGCTGTCTATGCGTGTGACAGGGTTTCGCGCTAACCCGGTTGCATCGACATAGCAACCACTGCTCATATGACTACGATTCCTACTCAGGATGACAACTTGGGAATAAGAAATTTCCTAGCCCGTCTGGAGAGGGCCATGAGATTTGTTCGTGAGCCGGCCCCTCCGCTAGGGAGGCACTGGCCAAGTCTCGTCCCCCGTCACATATATAAGACCATGAGGGGTTACCAACGGCTGGAATGTTGTGCTCACTCTATCCCTGGCTCGAGAGCTGTGTTACGAATACTGCCCACCCATGAATAGACATACGTCGAGTATAAGTCCAGATCAACGACTTTTCCATAAACACGCTGTTTCTAGAGGCAGCGTCACTCTCTACGGTTCCACCACCATTCACTCGTTCTCTCCTTTCCTTGAGCAGTTCTTGGTTCAGACGCTTTTTTCAACGTCCTTCCACTCTCTTTTTTCACAATAATGAGCTACCGAAGCAAGACTGCCAGCTTCGTAGCCATCTTGGCCTCCGCTGCAACGGTTGCTGCCCACGGTCACGTCACTAACATCGTTATCAACGGCGTTTCTTACCGCAACTACATCCCCGTGCAAGATCCGTATACCAACAACCCGCCGCTCGTGGCCGGATGGACAACTGACCAACGCGACAACGGGTTCGTCGCCCCGGATGCCTACAACGCTCCTGATATCATCTGCCACCGACAGGCCGTCGCTGGGAAGGGCCGCATCACGGTGGCCGCCGGCGACACCGTCCAGCTCCAGTGGACCGAGTGGCCGGACAGTCACAAGGGCCCCGTCATCGACTGGCTCGCCAACTGCAACGGCCCGTGTAACCTTGTCGACAAGACGGACCTGCGGTTCTTCAAGATCGACGGCGCCGGCCTGATCGATCCGCCCCAGCGCACCAATCGCTGGGCGGCCACCGCTCTCATCGAGAACGGCAACGCCTGGCTCGTGCGGATCCCGGCCAACGTCGCCCCCGGCCACTACGTTCTCCGTCACGACATCATAGCCCTCCACAGCGCCGGCCAGCAGAACGGTGCGCAGAGCTACCCGCAGTGCATCAACTTGGAGATCACGGGCGAGGGCACGGACAACCCCCCGGGCGTTCTCGGCACTGCTCTCTACAGGGCCAACGATGCTGGCATCCTATACAACATCTACCGCGATAATCTCAATGACTATGTCGTCCCGGGGGACGCCATCATACCTGGCGGTGTCTCCATGCTCCCGCAGTCTCGGATTCAGATTACTGCCTCTGGAAGTGCTACCCCTTACGGAACGACCAGTGTCGGATCCTCGTCTAGCACCCGTATCGCTCCCTCAAGTGTAACGTCTGCCGCCACCTCGTCTTCTAGCAGAGAGAGCGCATCATCTGTAGAAGCCGAGGCCAGTACTATCAGTACAACCATCCGGTTGACCAGGACCATCACCGCCACTCACACCAACAGCACAAGCAACAACATCCCGCCCAGCAGCACCGCAGCACCCACCCGGACCTTGGCACCCACAACACTCCAGACCCAGACAACCACGGCACCTCCCTCTGGTGAGCCAACGCAGAAAATGTACGGCCAGTGCGGCGGCGTAGCCTACATGGGCCCTACCCAGTGCCCAGCGTACGCCACCTGCTCCACGGTGAACCCGTACTACGCGCAGTGCACCCCCCTCCCGGTTCCGCCGGGTGTGCAACCTCTCTATGGCCAGTGCGGCGGTCTGAATTGGCCGCCGGAGAGTCCGACTGAATGCGTCCCCGGGGCTCGATGCTCTACGATAAACCCTTACTACGCTCAATGCACTCCCGCGTAAAATGCTTGCTTGGCTTTCACCGTTGCTGCTGAATCACGCGGTATTGGGTTGGGAAACATTAGGGCGGCTAGAATCACAAAAGCGTTGCATAGAAGCGTGCGCAGTATCTGACTTACACAGTTTTATTAGTGGTAGTGGTATAGGGTCGTGGCTTGTAGAGACGCAATATTATTCTGGGAGCCGCCATCGGCGACACAGCCAAAAATAACCAGAGCCTGAATTGGCCTACTTATTACTAGCAGCCCAGAAGTGAATCCGCCCGTCATCGTATTTGACGCCTATTTGTGCTCTGTTCTACCTGTACTCATCTCACGAGTTACGTGCAAACGCCCAAGGTGAGACGCAGGTTGACTGTGCTGAGATAAAAGGTGTGGTGACAGCCAGCTTCTTCTACCATGGACCTCAGAAGCGTAGTTGTCATCAACTATCAGGCTTTTTGGTGTTGGCAGGACGAGTTCAGTTGAGGCTTCTATTCACTTGACGTCTCGCGTCACGTAACAAAACGATACCGTTAGTTACGTGGGCAGTAACAGTGGCTTATATATCGTGACATCTCGTAACATCATGTCGAAATTACCACGGCATTTTCAGCATCTGCGGAAGTGGGGTATTGTTCTCGATAAGAATGAGACTACACGACCCTGCCCCTCTCTTAGCCCCGCCATGCTAGAGTCAATCTCATTCAAGCCGAGCGGCTCCCCAGCGTCCTTCCTCTGACACCTGACCATCGCAAGCAGGATCAGAAGTCGCCCACCATGCCCTCCGGGCACGAGGAATGGAAGAGTGCCAGGCGCATCTTATCACGCGAAATTGGGAGGGGTTACGACTTGGTCGCTGAAGGCCATAATAATAAAGAATCCGAAGCCGACACTGCGTATACACGCAAAACATTGATTGATAAGCTCCTTTGTAGCAGCACGCCTTACAGATATGAGCCTCTGCCGCCGAATTCCATCCGGCTTCTCGAGATATATCCCTCCAAACTTAAATATGAGCCGTTGCAGTGCCGCCTGATGCCCATTGGGCTGCAAGACTCCTCAGGGAAGTACGAGGCCCTGAGCTACGTCTGGGGCGATCCAGACCAGTTAAAAGAATGGATTTTCATCGATGGGCACTTCAAGGAAGTATATAGGACCCTGGCGAGCATTCTAATCAATCTGAGGAGCACTAAATCTGCGCGGACGCTCTGGGTGGACGCCATCTGCATTGATCAGTCAAGCATCGAAGAGCGCAACAGGCAGATCCCTTTTATGGGAAGCACCTATCGCGGTGCTACGAGGACAGTGGCATGGCTTGGTCCTGCAGAAGTGCGTACCCCAGAGACCTTCACGATTCTTCAGGAGCTCTCCGCAGAGGCGCAGTCTCCCCCATTTGTGCAGTACTACAGCGCCATATCTAGTCAAAACCGCATCGGCAACTTGCCGTTGTTGCCGGGATTCGAAAGCAAAGCGCTTCCGTTACCACGGAGCACGGTGCAAGAGAAATGGGGTGGTGATATAGGAATATGGGAGGTGCTGGCCTGTCCGTGGTGGTTTCGTGCCTGGACGGTCCAGGAGCTTCTGCTCTCGCAAAATCTGGTGCTTCGAAGGGGTGGTTATGAGATAGGATGGAACACGTTGCGCCGCGCTGTCTACCACGATGCCAACTTCCGTTATGGGGCATCTGGGGGGCGGGCTTCATCAAGAACTAGGCCATCTCAACTTACTTTGCCATCCGGACATTGGAGGAGAGACGCAAACTTCAGCAATCCCAGCCTGGATTTTACGTCGTGCACCCCGCCGAGAACCTGTTGCACCTCCTCCTGAACTGCACACACAGAGTCTCGAGAGATCCGAGAGACAAGATCTACGCACTGCTCGGTATGCTCGACGACGGCCAATCCTCTCCGGCTAACAAGAACTCGCTCGGCGTGGTGGCAAATCCCGACTATCAAAACCATGTCGTCTACATTTATAGGCGCATATCGCAGCAGTGCATCGAGATGACGGGTAGCCTCGACATTATCAGCATTTGCCCACCCTCTACACGACGTGGACTTCTCTCGTGGGTCACCGACTGGAGCGTCACCAACAAGGGTGCCCATCCTTTGATGAGCGACTCCATTAACCGTCCCAGACAGACGCATGCGACCCGTGGATCCAAGGCAAATCCCCGGTTCCTTGTGGATGCCGCCACCATTGTTCTCGACGCCTACGAGCTGACATCAGTAGTTGAAGTCTCGCAAGCTCAGCGGCCAGTGTTTTATTTTCTGGGTGGGAATGGCGAGAGTCGTCTCGTCGGGGAGACAGGGGATGTGAAAAAGGGTGTGAAGCAAACACTTACAGAACTCTGGCACTTTTACGAACTTCTGGCCGAATACTGGAGTGTCATGTTCGAATGGGAAAAGTTTGCCGCCAGGAGGCAGCCGCAGAACCCCACGGACAAACCCAACTCGGTCTACTGACAAACGCTCTGCGCGGGAACATACACCGACGGAGACCTTGACAAGACGGAGGAGCAGTATCACGCCTGGTTGGGTAATCTCGAACCTGTGCGGACAGCCGAGCGGAGATACAAGAGCCTGTCATCCAAAATACTACCTCTTCGGTATTCGGTCAACTCCAAGTCGTGGGAGGGATTCTCCCAGTTCGCCAACTACCTCGAATGCGCACACTACAGAAGATTGGGGTGGGCGACCAACGGATGGCTCTGTTTGCTCCCAGAGGAAACAGAGGTGGGTGCCCGCTTGATATTGGCCGAGGGTGGCAGGGTGCCTCTGGTCATCCGACCCGACGGTGATGGGTATAACATGCTGGTAGGGGAGTCGTATATTCAGGGCATTATGGACGGAGAAGCTTTTGACAAGGAGAAGTGTCATGATGTCAAGATTTGCTAGTTGCCGCGATACCCACGAGGCTGTTATCCGAGCTCTGGAGGAGCGTAACTAGACAGTGTATCAAGACCAAACTGTGTGAACTAGAGTTTAGCTCTCCTTACCTGTTTTCTGGAGTCTTCATGTCACGGCATTGGACGCACCCATTTGCTGAGACCATTTTCAGCCGACTCCAAGCAGGAGAAAGAAGCATGGGACGTTCATCAGCAGTGCCAAAACCGCTATGTTACCCGTCTGTCCTTGCACATGGTATCAAAGTGTTCTGCTCCATCGCTTCAAGTCTTGCTCGGGTCATACTGGCAGCACTGCTGGATGCGTGACAGTGGCATTGACCGCGGTCAAACCCCGAGCGTACGGTGACTCAAGAGCAATGGGACACATGATACTACGACGGCAAGAAGCACAGGGCCATATGACGGTGCTTTCCAGCAACACTTGATCGATCACAATATATTTTTCTCCCAGGTACGAGTTCACCAACGGAGACGAATCGCCTGAACCTGAGAATGTCGACGATATTCAGAGAATGTTGGAGCAACTGAGATAATCCTTGTCCCCAAGCCGGTTTACTAACAAGGATTTCAAGAAGTTCGAGCGTGCAGATGCTCATGCGACTAAGAAGATGCGAATGATCGCAACAGTAAATGTAATTATTGAGGGGGACGCGGCCGATCCGAGGTGTATTGCAAGCGATGTTGCATTCTCAAACTTCGAGCATTTAACAGACGGGTCCCTTGTCCCTGGTAAACCAGACATATACTATGGTAGCCGGCCGGAACAGCTTAAGGATGTTAGAGAAGCACTCAGCAACTTCATTGTTCCTTCAACTTAAGATGGTTTAATGATAGCACCAAACAGTTTCCTAGAGGTCTTTGACCCACATACTGATAACACTCTTTGAGCCACTTGCTCTTCTGCGAAACTTAACATGGGTCTACCTGCCGTTTTGCTCTATAGAAATGCCTAATGCAACCTTGAGCATACGGGTCACCCACCCAACTCATGAAATCATAGACATCATCGGAAACGATTAGAGCATCATACTCGCTAGCAATTAGCACAAGATCGTTGCGTAGTCTGGACAAGAGCGTTATTCTGCTAGGGTTCGAAAAGGTCGGAACGAGATAGATGACATATTTGTAGATTTTCCGGCACGATCTACCTACCTTTAATGTCGGTTCGTCAGCTTGATCGGCTTTGGAAGTTTGTAAGCGCAACCTATGCCCCAGCATATAGGCTGATGTTGAGTAATCAAATGACAAGTAACCCATTCGCAGCAGAATTCTTGTCTAATGTCAACGGTTTCTAGCCTCGATTAGTACATGTAGTAGTATTTAATTCGTGGTGGTCGACTGGCCTGGCTTTTATTCATCCTTGTAGGTCTTCCTGCTCCATATGCAAAGGGCTGAGTACTGGGTATCGGGCCGAAATGAACATCCCCACTTGGAAGCACAGTGTTCCCACGGCTTGGTGGCAGAGTGGTCTAATGCGCAAGACTAGAAATCTTGTTCCTTCGGGAGCGTCTGTTCGAATCAGGCCCAAGTCGATTTTTAATACGTTTGACTATTTCTTTCCCGATAGTTTTGTTTCTTGATTTGTCTGAAAGAGTGACGGTTCTAAGCGTGGAGCAGGCAGCGTCACAGCTATTCAGTTTAGGAGACAATGCTTTGATATCGCTAAGCGCCTAACATACTTTTATACAATTTAAATGGTTCCCAAAGCTAGCTCATTAATCATAAACTCTGTAACCGAATCCTTTTCTAAAGCTTCCAGGATGGACCAATGGACGTGATTTCATCGTAAAGCAAACTGTAAATCAAGCCCAGTTATCATCACACAGCTTACAAGAATGGACAACGGGCTACTTACGTGGTAAGAAAGTCGGCATAATCCTCACCTGTCACTTGCGGCCGTAGGTACTTGGCCGCCAACTCGTACTTGTTATTAGCGGGCGCGGACTTGATCAGTTCTTTCGTGACGTTGTCGAGTATGTTGAGCATCGTCGCCTTGTCGAGTTTCGTGCCCTCCGCAGTACTGACGCCGTGACGGACCCACTGCCAGAGTTGCGAGCGCGACACCTCGGCGGTGGCGGCATCCTCCTGGAATCATGTTAATTCAAATGTCTGAAACTCAATAATATGAGGTTTTCCAACTTACCATCAAATAGTTGATTGCGCTGCAGCCAACGCCACGCAGCCAACCCTCCATATATGCCAGAGTAATGTGCAGGTTCTTCCTCACACCATCATCAGTGATATTGCCAGGGACAACGGGGTTGAGGAGGTCATCGCGTTTGACATCCACCTCAGTTCGAATAAAAATTTGGTTTGCGGTAGGCATGTGCTCGTTGAAGACCTCACTTGCGATGGAAGCCAGCGCAGGGTGGGCAACCCATGTTCCATCATGCCCGGCTTTGACTTCACGAAGTTTGTCGGCACGCACGCTGTCCATCGCCTTGGCGTTGGCCGCCGGGTCGTCCTTCCTGGGGATGAGGGCTGCCATGCCGCCCATGGCATGCACACCACGCTTGTGGCATGTACTGATTAGCAGCTTAACGTAGGCATCCATGAAGGGGACGGTCATAGTGACGTCGGAGCGGTCGGGGAGAATGAAACCAGGGCGGTTGCGGAAGCGCTTGAGGAAGGTAAAGATATAGTCCCATCTGCCGCAGTTGAGGCCCGAGCTGTGGTCTCTAAGTTCGTAGATGATCTGTGAAAAGATGTCAGTACCCGTTCTGGGGACGAGTGTGGGTATCACAAACCTCATCCATTTCAAAAACAGCCGTGATAGTCTCAATCAGAACAGTACCGCGAATCGTACCCCTCGGGATACCAACGTAGTCCTGGGCCATGTTGAAAACGTCGTTCCACAACCGCGCCTCAAGATGGGACTCCATCTTGGGCAGATAAAAGTAAGGACCAGCCCCACGGGAGATGAGCTCCTTGGCATTGTGGAAGAAGTACAGCCCAAAATCGAAAAGAGCGCCGGAAATGGGCTCCCCGTCGACGGTAAAATGTTTCTCGTCCAGGTGCCAGCCGCGCGTTCTAGCTATCAACGTTGGAAGAGCGCGGTCGGTTCTGAGCTTGTACTCCTTCTCTCCGAGCCGGAAATCGACTTGGCGACGGATGGCGTCATACAAGTTGAGTTGGCCGTAAATCATGTTGTCCCACGTTGGACCGTTGGAATCTGATATTATGTGTAAGTCTGGGAACGACTCTTTCGGACCGCAAAGCCGACTAACCTTCGAAATCGGCCATATAAGCCCACACATCAGAGTTGAGCGCGTTGACAACCATCTTTCTATCTGTGGGACCGGTGATTTCAACCCTGCGGTCAACCAAGCCTGGCGCAGGCGCGGCGCCCTTCCATTTCTTGTCGTCACGGATGTGCTGGGTTTCTGGTAGGAAATCTGGTAGGCGCCCATTGTCTATTTCAATCTGACGCTGAACACGGAGCTCCAGCAGACGCTTGCGAGTTGACTCGAAGGAACGATGGAGAATGACGAGAAACTCAACGGCATCCTGGGTGAGAATCCGGCGGGAAGCTTCATTGCCGGCACCGAGGATGGAGACGCTACCTAGTATTGAGCTTGATTGAGACATTTTGGACTTTCTCAAAGTTGAATGCGGCAGAAATCGTGGTTCACTGACGACTGCTAAAATGTGCTATGGTATCACTCTGGTCTCTTGGAGCGATCCCCTGAGTTATTAAGTATTCTTTCCATGGTTAATGGCGCATCATCCTCTGCTCGGCTATCTTCCGATGGTGTTCTACTTCTTCCCCGTGCTTAGTGATGCTGCTCGGCTCGGCAGCCGAACCGGCGTCGGATGAAACCCGATTGGCTCCGCTCGCCCTTCCCGCCGACGGTCGAGCGGAAAGTCTCTATCTAGCCTGTCAAGTCACTGCCCAGGTGTAATTCGCACGTAATTTTGCTATGGAGTTATTTCAATTCAATGTTGATGGTAAAGTTACTGCGTTAATATTGCTTATGATTCTGTCTTAACTGCCATTGCTATGAGCCATACCCACCCGGTGCCATCATCTTTTCTAACTCGGCCCAATCGAGCTGATCAACTCCTGTAAGAGGCAGTGTAGGGTCATTGAAACTGTTGTAGATGCCCTCAGCAGCCTCCAATCCAAAGGCCTGCTCAAGATTCTCGTCCAGATTCAAGCCAAACAACGTATCCGACCCATAAGTATCCGCGCCAGGTCCTCCAAACATCTCACCCTCCCACGATGGCACCGAAGAAGTCGGCGTCAGTGTGGTCAGTGGCATTTGGGACGTCGACGGCTGCCCCGACTGTTCCGCCAATACTGACCCGGGAGTGTTCCCCACGTGGGGCAGCCCATGTGCTTCCCCGGATTCTCCTCCCATTTGTACGTCATGGTCCCTATCGAAGGCTACTACATTGGCCCACACATGAGCCGAGAACTGCCGTATATCCTTGAGGCGCTGCGCTGCCGCATTGTTGCCAGCCTGGGACAAGTACTCCATAAATTCGATGGCTTGAAATAGTTCTTGTGGCGGTGGTTTTTGGCTATCGTTCTTGTGTGCAAAACCGCGCATGATCAGGACAAAAGAAGCAGCAAAAGCCGCGTCTAGGTCGAAGAAGGCGAACGGTGCTGAGTTTCTTGTCAATATTATTGTCATCAACCATCCGAGAAACACAACTCACCGATTTCCTCTTGCCTCTGCATAGCCATGAGAATTCGAATAATCCTCAAGGCGGATTCGTTGCAGAGCAAGCAGAGCTGAGATATTGCTGATGATACTGGTCCCTGCTTTTCTGTTTTTTGAACCTTGTCCTTCACTTTTTGCAGTAAGATAGGTCTGATGCAAAGAATGATGGCCTTTCAGTCAAACGTATGTTAGCATACAAGGTGGCCCAGAGGAGTAACATGCGAGAGGGGAAGGGAGCCAGCTTGCCTGAAACAGCCTCAGATACAGCGATGCACCGGCCCTGGTGACTTCAAACTGCTTGTTGCTGAAGTCTATGGAAAGGTTTGCTGGTATAGATCGGCCAGTGTCATGAAGCGACTGGAGAAGGTTGCGCATCTTCCGGACAAGGTCGGCTTGCGATAAGGCACCTCTGCTGTACAGTGCTGTAGTCCATCTCAGTGAGCCAACTCAACCATGACAAACTAGCAACGAAAGTGACGATGGAGGCTGAAACCACTTACACGACATGATCTCGCCCGTTGTACGGGCAATCTGTACATTCACGTTGAGCGGTTCAGGAGAATCGAAGCCCGGCGACGGCCCCGGAAGATCAAAGGAAAGGTGGCGATCATCGACAGAAGCCGGACGTCCAAGCCCTGCGGATATGCGTCTGACGGAAATGAAGTCAGCTCGTTGATCTTTCGGTTCAGTGGCCAGGTAACGTACTGGTCCAACATATATACCGTCCACCACACTCTCATTCGGTGCGCTCTCTCTGAGGGAAGGCATTTTTGCTCTGAGAATGGCAGGTTACAGCCTAATGTCAGGGCAAGCCGCACAGTTATTCCCACCTGTTCAATTGTCAGCGCTCGTGGTTGGGAAAGCGGCCAGTATTACGCTTACGAAGAAATATGAATCGTTTTTCCTGTCGTTCCACTGCAAATATGTGGTTGCCAGGCAGAGAATCTCGAGACCGACAATACCGTACTCGCTGATGCTGTGCAGTGGCGGAAGCCGTTTCATCGCTTCTGCGAACCAGAACGCTCCCGGAGGACCCCGGACCTCGCGGGGATCTTCCTCCATCAACTTACCCATTGCCATTACCAACAAGTACAGAGTGAACCACGGAGTGTCCATTTGCCTGGCACGCGAGGCCTGACTCTGGAACAACAACGTCATGTTATCGGTAAACGTTCGCTGGTCTAGGAAGTGCTGTGTCACGCCCATATATGAATTGAAGAGATCCAAAAGCCGGTTGGACTCGGCCTCCTTGGGAAAAGCCTGGTGAGGAATGCCCTTGATCAACTCATTGGTGGAAGTCCACTCAGGGGTGAAAGGAAGGTCACTAGAGTCTTCGTGCTCCAAATGTTCCGGGACATCCTTCTCCGGCGAATCCCGATCTTTGCCATTGTTTTCATGGAAAAGACTTCTCAAACGCTGCTCAAAGAGAGGTCCAGGCGCGCTCTCTATGGATGCTATTTCGTCGGAAATTAGGCTGGGAATGCAACGAGCATGAGGAAAGAATGAACATACCATAACTTGGAGGTGGCACTTCACCGGTCGGTTCAAAAGGCGCAATGCCGCTTGGACTGGAATTTGATACTGCGTTGGACACGCGCCTTGACTGAGGGATGGGGTATGGGCGTGGCTGTTTAGAGAGCTCTATTGAGGTTTAGACTCGAGGGTCCTCCGAAATACTCTACGGAAAAGGGAATTTTCAATTGTTTTCATACCTTTAATTTGATCTTCATATCGTGATAAGGTTGCTCTCAGCTCCGATACGTAGCTAGCCATTGCGTCAGCAAGGAGGATGGAGAAGTCCGATTTCGGAATCAACCTACGATTCTGAATACCGCTTCCGCCCATCGCCAAACTCGCAGTCTAGATTGTTCCGCGCACAATTTCTACAAGGCTGTTCCCCGGAACATTTCACCTTGCGTCTCCTGCAAGTATTGCATCTGCATACCGCAATGTCGGTCGGTCAGTCAGCCCGTCATGTGGCATAGTGTGTTATTGCTGGGGGAACAAACTGACGCATTTGCGGACCGAGCTTTGACCGCTGCTTGCGGAGGCATTGCAGCTTCGTCGTCTGCCTCAGACTTGACGTGGCGTTTTCTCTTACGGCTCGAAGACGAAGATGAAGCCTTGATCACATTGAGAGACTGCAAGATTTCGTCTCAGCCAAATTGCAAAAGTCTTCATGTGATGCGCGCTGGTGTTGGGTCAATTGAGTGTGGGACCGATAAGAATGACTCGCCTTAGATGAGGGGTCCGGGGTTGGCGAGCCCCTGTAACTGCTAGTCGACATTGTACAGTGTATGAGGGTAGCCCGGATAAGCAAAACATATGCAGTCGTGTATGCGTTAAATGCAACAGGCAGGACTTATGCAGGTTCTGAATCCCTCCGACTCCTGATAAGGTCGCTGAGCCGTCCGTCTGTGCTTTTTGTAACCAAGAGTCTTGGTGCCATACCACATTAATCATGAGAAATGACGTCTATGGTAGCTTGTGTGAAATGGTGATTGGGTTTTCTTCAATGATGTTTCGAGAAAGAAGTCCCGGTTCAACAGGCTTTGAGGCAGCGTGGCCATCTTATCCATAGACACATGGTCTTCGGCACTCATCCGAGTCGATGGCAGCACATTTCTGATGGATCCACCTTCGGCTTCAGTCCCCGTGCGGGCCCTGACATCATTATCCATGTCATGGTCAAACTATCGTGTTTGTCTAAGCGCTGGTCCCGAAATCAATATCCGTACCGAGTTCTGAAATGGCATGTCTTATTTATTTCATGTTGTTTAATTTGATGAATCCGCACAATTCCGTCTAGGGACGCGGCCAACACGGTACTAAGCTCGGCCTGCTTCCGAGATGGAAATGCCTACCCCTCCTACTCACGGCTTAGGGCAACAGCCAATGCCTGAAACTACCACTTGGAAGACGCAGTAGATGCCTTCCGTCTTTATATGATTACCAGATATTACAATTCCTGATTCTGCAATAGCGTTCGCTTTTCTTCTTCACGGGAAACATTGCTGGCACTCTTGGAATACCAGGGTTCAGATTGTTGTAGACATCTTGGGAAGTGCTAGATATGCAGCGATAGCGTTTGGATTTTCAACAAACATGGCGACTGTGGCCTGAGCCTAGCCTTTACAATAGTCGGGCGATAGCGATGCTTGCAAAAAATATTCAGAACTAACAGGCGGCAGAAAGGCACAACCACTGCCTAATACAACCCACTAAAGCTGACGTGAGATAATCTTAGAGGGTCAACGCTGCTTAGCACAGTTCAAGCTGTTAGCCGTAATCAAATCCCATAATGTCCTATGACTATTGTCAAGTCGTAGGGATTGTAATAGTTAATTAAATGTATTATATATAACGTACATGCATAGCAAGTGGCCTACTTCCTGTCCTTTCTTCCTCTTTAACCTTTACACTAGCATTTCTCTACGTACAAATATGTAATCTTCTTTAATCAAAAGCCGTATTATCCTTACTATCTAAGCTATTAAAAAAAACCTAAAAATATCTATATAAAACGTAGCTACTATCTTTAAGGTCCCTTAATCCTTACTTTATTACTAACTTACTAGACGTATTATATAAGATAAAACATATCTAAATTTAAAGAAAATAATAAAAGTTAAGGAGAAAGTAATTCTTAAGAGGGTTATTAACCTAATTAATTAAGGGTTTTCTCTATAATAAGAGGATATATAAAATATAGCTAACTAACTTCTAAATATATATAATATAATATATATTAGACTTTAATAAGTAAAGAACTTTATATTATAATAACTATAATTAAAAATGTAATTTTAATATTAAATTAACTATTAAAAAGCCTTATCTAAAGATCTTATAATTATATAAGGCTAGCTAATACTTATATAAAATATAATTATAAAGTATAAGATATAAAATTATAATACTTATAATTTTAATAAGACTAGGTTTTTAATAAAAATACTATTATATATAAAGGTTATTATAACCTCTAACTATAAGGAAAAGCCTTATATAAAGTAGCTTAGTAATTAAGAATAGGTTTTTATTATTTAGAGTATATATATAGATAGCTAGGTAATACCTCTATATATTATTATAAAAAGTAAATATTATTTTCTCTCTTAGTACTAAAATAGCTAATTTCTAGCTAAATAGTATATTTACTTAAGTAAAAATAAGTAAATAATAAATAAGATTAGCCTAAATTAGTTAAACTATTTTAACTAGTATATAAAGTCTTATATAAAAAGTACTTATTAACTCTTAATTCTTAATAGCTATAAGAGCTATAAATTAACTAAATTTAATAATTTTTATAAAAAATATAAGATTATTACTTTATATATACCTCTCTATTTATTATATAAGCTTTAGCCTCTTAATATAGGTTATTTTAGCCTATTAAAGCTTTTATATAGTAAGGAAATTAAGAAGATAATATAAATATAGATTTTATATATTATAAAAAATAACTTTTCTCTTACTTTTAAAGTAGTAATATTTACTATAATAAGGGAGAAAAATAAATAAGCTAGCTTTAGATAGGCTAGCCTTATACCTTTTACACCTAGAATAGTTATTTTTTACCTAGATTTTATACTAAATATACTAACACCTTCTAGCTTATATCTAACTTACTTAGGCTTATAGGACCTAAAGATACTAACTATAGCACTAAAGGGCGTATAAAGTACTAGCTTACTAAAAAGGAAGATCTAGAGATATTAAAGGAGCTTACTAACACTAATATATAAGGTTATTAACCTCTAAGTTAAAGGTATTAGTAAGTTAGTATATAGGTTTACTCTTATTAAGGCTAAAAAACTTAGACTTTATATAGAGATAAATATACTAAGTAAGCACTAGAGGGCTAAAGAGACATAACTACGTTTTAGAAGATTACTTAATATAACTAAAGTAGAGGCACTATAAGGAGAAAAAAAATATTAAAGCTAGAGGTAAAAAACATCTTAAAAAGAGGCTTATATAGAAGGTAGTAAACTATATATATAATTATATAGTAATTATAAAAAAGCTAAATATGATATATAAACCTATAAGGTAGTTAAAGATAGTAATAAAGAAGATAGTAATAAGTAGTTTTAATTAATTTTATATATTATAGCTTAATTAACTTATATAAAAGGTATAGAGAAAAAAAGAACTAGGCTACTTACTATAATAAGCTACTTACTATATATATAAATTATCTAAAATAGAAGATAAAATATAAAGTAGTTATTTAAAAAGCTTATTATTTATAAAAATATTTTTCTTTATTTACTTCTTATTACTATATAGATATACTTTATTAAAAAAGCTTTTAGTTTTTATATTAGTAAAAAGAATTTAAGAACTAATCTAATTATATATTTCTTTTTTTATTTCCTTATCTATAATATTAAAAGATTTATATAGTTTCTATAATAATCTATTTATAGCTATATTTTATATTTCTTTAAAATAGTAAACTTTAAAGTTAAATATATAAATTTATATAATTTACTAAATAATAAGAGCACTAAGAATACTACTAGTAGCTTTATTAAGCTAGGCTATAAGGGCTTAGGCGTCTATTTCTAGTAAAAAGTATTAACTATATAAATATTATATGCCTACTTTAAACCTTTAAGGACGTTATAAAGCTTCTTTTCTTTAGTATTATAGGTTAGCTTTACGCTAGCCTATATTTTACTTTTAAACCTAGATACTAGTTTCTTATTCCTAATAAATTAACTAAGAACTTTACCTAACCCTTTAAAGCTAGCGTCTACTATAAAATAAACTTAGTTACTTTTTTTACTATAGTTAATAAAAATTAGTATAGGTACTATTATTAATCCTTTCTTAAAAGTGTTTATTACTTATTATTATAGTAATCTCTAGTTAAAGTATATATCTTTTTAAAGTAGTAATATAAGTGGTTTTACTATTATAAAAAATCTTAGACCTAAATTTAGTAAAAAAGAGGAATATCTAGAAGAAACCTAAATTAGTAGTACTAGTATTAGTAAGCTATTTATAGATCTTAACTATTTCTTTCTAGTTTAGGCTATAGCTAGAAGTTCTATAAATATAACTTATAATAGTTACTGCTATTTAAACTTACTTAAATTTAACTATAGATATAGTTAACTTAGTAAGATTAAGGTTAACTAAGAGTTTATTAATATTTATTAAATACTTAAAAATAAATCTTTAAATACTAAGATAGGTAAGAATCTTTTTATTATTCTACCTAGAAGTTAGTCTCTAGATTATAATATTATTAATAAAGACTTTATAGTATATAAGAATAAGATTATATAGTATCTAGAATATAATATACATAAACTAGGCTACTAAATTTATAGCTTTTTACAGTAAAGTATAATACCTTAAGAGGCTAAGTAGTATAATAAAAGTAGTTATATCTTAGCTTTAGACGTCTAAAGAGACTTAGTTATATCTTAAGATAATATTAATTAAGGAAAGCAGCTAGTATATAGTAAAACCCTCTAAAAGGTTATTTACTATAAGAAGAAGTCTACTTTTATATATTATTATATTATTAACCTTTATAACTAAACTAATTAGCTATACTTTAATATTTTCTTTATAAACTAAATAGAAAAGATTTTAATATATAGTATAGGTTTACTTAA